GAATCCAGACAAGACAGAGGTCCTACTGGTCAGTCGTAAGGCCGAACAGGGTATAGGGTTACAGCCTGTGCTGGATGGGGTTACACTCCCCCTGAAGACGCAGGTTCGCAGCTTGGGAGTGATCCTGGACTCGCCGCTGAGCCTGGAACCCCAGGTCTCGGCGGTGGCCGGGAGAGCTTTTGCACAATTAAAACTTGTGCACCAGTTGCGCCCGTACCTTGGGAAGTCTGATCTGGCCACGGTGGTCCACGCTCTTGTTACATCCCGGATAGACTACTGCAACGCGCTCTACGTGGGGTTGCCCTTGAAGACTGTTCGGAAACTCCAACTAGTCCAGCGTGCGGCAGCCAGATTGCTCACCGGAGCGACATACAGGGAGCATACCACCCCCCTGTTGTGCCAGCTCCACTGGCTGCCGATTCAATTCCGAGCACAATTCAAGGTGCTGGTTTTAACCTACAAAACCCTATACGGTTCCGGTCCAGTGTATCTGTCCGAACGTATCTCCCTTTACGTCCCACCTCGGAGTTTGAGATCATCTGGGGAGGCCCTGCTCTCGACCCCACCACTCTCACAAGTGAGGCTGGTGGGGACGAGGAGCAGGGCCTTCTCAGTGGTGGCCCCCCACCTGTGGAACTCACTCCCGGGGGAAATCAGAACAGCACCAACCCTCCTCTCCTTCAGGAGGAGGGTGAAGACATGGCTGTGGAACCAGGCCTTTGGGCAACCAGGCAATTAGATAAGACAACCAAATAAGACAATCAGATGTGTAAGATCAGCAGGATTGTCGAAATGGAACCAAAAACAGATCTTTGAGTTAATGTACACTGATGGGTAGGAGGAAGATCTAGGTTTGTATTGTTTTACTGATTTTATCATTTTATTGATTTTATTGGATAATGCTGAATTGTGGGAATTTGTACTGTTGTACTTTTGTGATGATTGTTTTGTGTGGCAGGCGTCTAAGTACGCCTTGCAGCTGTAAGCCGCCCTGGGTCCCCTTCGGGGTGAGAAGGGCGGGGTACAAGAACCCCAAATAAATAAATAAATAAATATAATAATAATAGAGTAAAATAATAAATGCAATAATAAGAGTAAAATAATAAATGTAATTAATAATTCTTATAATTTTTTTTTGTTGTATCAGAAGCAACCTGAGAAACTGCAAGTCGCTTCTGGTGTGAGAGAATTGGCTGTCTGTAAGGACGTTGCCCAGGGGACGGCCGGATGATTTTGATGTTTTATCATCCTTGTGGGAGGCTTCTCTCATGTCCCCGCACGGGGAGCTGGAGCTGATAGAGGGAGCTCATCCGCCTCTCCCCAGATTTGAACCTGCGACCTGTTGGTCTTCAGTCCTGCCGGCACAGGGGTTTAACCCACTGCGCCACCAGGGGCTCCATTATTATAATAATAAAATAATAAATGTAATAATAACAGTAATAATAAAATAATGAATGTAATATGAGCCCCGGTGGCGCAGTGGGTTAAAGCACTGATAATATATTTTTTGGGGCTCCATTATTATAATAATAGAGTAAAATAATAAATGTAATAATAACAATAATAATAATAAAGTAATGAATGTAATATGAGCCCCCCGGTGGCGCAGTGGGTTAAAGCGCTGAGCTGCTGAGCTTGTTGATCAAAAGGGTTGCAGGTTCGAATCCGGGGAGCGGCGTGAGCTTCTGCTGTCAACCCCAGCTTCTGCCAATCTAGCAGTTCGAAAACATGCAAATATGAGTAGATCAATAGGTACCACTCCGACGGGAAGGCAACAGTGCTCCATGCAGTCATGCTGGCCACATGACCTTGGATGTGTCTATGGACAACGCCGGCTCTTCGGCTTAGAAATGGAGGTGAGCACCAGAGTCCCAGAGTTGGACACGACTAGACTTAATGTCAGGGGAAAACCTTTACGCTTACCAACTAATGAATGTAATAATAATAGAATAAAATAATAAATGTAATAATAATAATAATAATAATAATAATAATAATGTAAAATAAATGTAATAATAATAATAATAATAATAGCAGCGTAAAATAATAAATAACTTTGACTTGAGTATAAGCCAAAGGCCTATAAAAAGGGCAGAAAAACTCGACTTTTACTCGAGTATATGTGCTATGTCTCTGGGAAGAATCACAGAATTGATTCTTTTTGAAGACACACAGAGAAGGAGACCCCCCACCACCTCTCCAGGCAATTCATCCCATTGAGGAACCGCTCTCACTTATTACAGTAAGGCCACCCATGCTTTCTTGAAGTGCTTCTTCTAGTTCTAAAATTAGGCGGAAATTAGGCGGAGATTAGCCGAAGTGTCCTGCGTGTGCATCCGCTTAATGTAAAGCACCTCAGATTCAGGGGACTAAGCCTGATCAGTCTGGATGGCTATTGTCCAGTGAGAGTGTGAAGAGTGGTTTAGCCGGGGGAAACGGTCACTTTCGGCATCATTGCGAAGGGGAGCAGGCACGGAGCTAATCCAGAGTGTCATGGCATGCAAATCTATTGCAGGCAAACGTGAACGGGGGAATTTTACGGGTTCTGGAGCAGCGGATGCTGGAAATATGATGTTTTGTATATAATATAAATGTAATAATAATAATAAAATATTAAATGTAATAATAATAATAGAGTAAAATAAATGTAATAATAATAATGGAAATATGTTTTGTATAAACGCACGTATAAATCTAGAAATTGTAGACAGAAAATAATAATACACTTTATTTATATTCCGTCCTTCTCCCCTCGGGGACTCAGAGCGGATTACAGTATTTACATACATAGGCAAACATTCACTGCCTTTACAATCATATACAATAAGACACACAAACAAAGGCAGAGGCTTCTCCTTTCATTTCCAGCTTTCTGGAAGCGGTGCTCATCTCTGGCCCTTGGGAGGTGCTTTCTCCATTTTCAAGCCGGGGAACCTGTATTGTCATCTCCTGGTTGTGTGGCCAGCACAATTGCTTTGAGCATCTCTTTGCCTTTTAAAGCAGTACCTATTTATCTAGTCACATTTGCATGTTTTTGAACTGCTAGGTTGGCAGGAACTGGAGCTGACCGGCATTTTGCAGATTCAAACTGCCAACCGTCAGGTCAGCGGTTCAGCAGCACAAAGGTTTAACCCATTACGCCACCGCAGCTCAAATAAACCCCCGAAACTTGGGTCGACTTACCATGGGTCAATATGAGTACTCATTACCTCCCATCAAAAAAGGAACCATTGAAAGACGTTTTTTGAATACCAGAATGGAGAAATGACGAGTTAGTTTGCCTCTTGAGATAGCAGTGGTGCTTCCCCGTCTGTGGAATGACTCTTGATCATATTAGAATCCATAACAATAATAAAAAGGGAAAGGTTTTCTCCTGACATTAAGTCCAGTCTGGGGGTTGGTGCTCATCTCCATTTCTAAGTCGAAGAGCTGGCGTTGTCCGTAGACACCTCCAAGGTCATGTGGCCGGCATGACTGCATGGAGCACTGTTGCCTTCCCGCTGGAGCGGTACTTATTGATCTACTCACATTTGCATGTTTTCGAACTGCTCGGTTGGCAGAAGCTGGGGCTGACAGTGGAAGCTCACGCCGCATCCCAGATTCGAACCTGCGACCTTTTGGTCAGCAAGCTCAGCGCTTTAACCCACTGCACCACCAGGGGCTCCCTATAACAATAATAACAATAATAGTACTACTAATAATAATAATAAGAATAAGTCACCTTGTCTGTCTCCTGAGGAATCTGTATCACGACTAAGTAACAACCACGGAACAACAGACTGATTCAGAATTGGGAAAGGAGTACAGCAGGGCTTTCTACTCTTACCCGAACTATTCAACTTGTATGCAGAACACATCATGCAATGTGCAGGGCTTGACGAATCCAAGGCTGGAGTTAAAATTGCTGGATGAAACATTAACAAACCTAGATATGTAGATGATACCACTTTGATGGCTGAAACCAGGGAGGAGCCTGATAACCAAGGTGAAAGAAGAAAGTGCAAAAGCTGGGTTGCAGCTAAACATCAAAAAAACCAAGATGATGGCAACCAGACTGATTGAGAACTAACAGATAGAGGGAGAAAACGTGGAGGCAGACGCAGACTGCAGACAGGAAATCAGAAGACGTTTCCTTCTTGGGAGGAGAGCAATGGCCGGGATACAGAAATAAAGTTGTTGTTGTTATTTGTATTGTCGAAAGCTTTCATGGCCGGAATCACTGGGTTGTTGTAGGTTCTTCGGGCTATATGGCCATGTTCTAGAAGCATTCTCTCCTGATGTTTCGCCTGTATCTATAGCAAGCAACCTCAGTGGTTGTGAGGTCTGTTGGACTTGGAAAATTGGGTTTATATATCCAGGTATATAAACCCAATTTTCCTAGTTCCAGATGAATAAACCCAATTTTCCTAGTTCCAACAGGCCTCACAACCTCTGAGGATGCTTGCCATAGATGCAGGCCAAATGTCAGGAGAGAATGCTTCTAGAACATGGCCCTACAGCCCGAAAAACCTACAACAATCCATTGCAAACATTCTATAAACATACGCATTATAATGTAGTTCGATAAAAGATATATATTAAAACCTATTTCTGTGAAATACATATTAAATAGACAGGACACGTGTTTAAAATTCACGCTTAAACATTTGGTCATACACAAGTATGCACGACATTGGGACCGCACTATGCCCTGTTCTGGGTTGTGTACCCCATTGGAGTTAATGTCAAGGTGAGGTGGGGAAGATACAATACGGACAACTTGTCTTTTGAGGGGTGAGTTACCCCCTTAATTTAATGGACAGAAAAGTCTCAGTTTTCTCAAACTCAAGTTAATTCTAGTCTGAAGCTCATAATACCAGTGCATCAAACTTAGAAGGTGGTTGGGAAGATATTTCTCTGCAAAATTGGGAAGGTGGAGGTCCCTGGTCATTGGAAGACATAAGACTGGGCGAAGGTGCAAGTCAGGTTTCATGTTCTGCTGCTTCTCCTCCTTTGACCAGGTCTCCCCCCAAGAGATGGTCCAGGAGATCCACCAAGTCTTGATGGACCGCGAGGACACCTGCCACCGAACGTGCTTCTCCCTGCAGCTCGACGGAAACGTGCTGGATAACTTTGCGGAGCTGAAGACCATCGAAGGCTTGCAAGAAGATTCAGTGTTAAAAGTAGTTGAAGGTAACACAGTGACAAAAAAAGCATGCATACAGTGTCAGAAATATTAAAAATTAACTAGGTATTTTTAATTACAAAAATGTGAGTCAAGCACTGAAAGGGTTAGTAGACCAAAGCTAGTGTCCTCCTGAGGAGAATGAGTAGGCCGAAGCCTGTTAGAGTCAGTGAGCCAAAGCTAGTGTTGTACTGAGAAGAGTGAGTAGGCCAAAGCCTGTTAGAGTCAGTGAGCTAAAGCTAGTGATGTCATGAAGAGAGTGAGTAGGCTGAAGCCTGGCTAGTGTCCTCCTGAGGAGAATGAGTAAGCCGAAGCCTTTAAGAGTCAGTGGGCAAAAGCTAGTGTCATCCTGAGGAGAGTGAGTAGGCCTAAGCCTGTTAGAGTCAGTGAGCAAAAGCTAGTGTCATTGTGAGGAGAGTGAGTAAGCCTAAGGCTGTTAGAATCAGTGGGTCAAAGCTAGTGTCATCCTGAGGAGAGTGAGTAGTCCAAAGCCTCTTAGAGTCAGTGGGCCAAAGGTAGTGTCATCCTGAAGAGAGTGAGTAGGCCAAAGCCTCTTAGAGTCAGTGGGCCAAAGGTAGTGTCATCCTGAAGAGAGTGAGTAGGCCGAAGCCTGTTAGAGTCAGTGAGCTAAAGCTAGAGAGTGAGTAGGCCAAAGCCTGGCTAGTGTCCTTCTAAGGAGAATGAGTAAGCCGAAGCCTGTTAAAGTCAATGGGCAAAAGCTAGTGTCATCCTGAGGAGAATTAGTAGGCCAAAGCCTGTTAGAGTAAGTGAGCAAAAGGTACTGTCATCCTGAGGAGAGTGAGTAGGCCAAAGCCTGTTAGAGTCAGTGGGCCAAAGCTAGTGTCGTCCTGAGGAGAGTGAGTAGGCCGAAGCCTGTTAGAGTCAGTGGGCCAAAGCTAGTGTCATCCTGAGGAGAGTGAGTAGGCCAAAGCCTGTTAGAGTCAGTGGGCCAAAGTTAGTGTCATCCTGCAGAGCGTGAGTAGGCCGAAGCCTGTTAGAGTCAGTGGGCCAAAGCTAGTGTTGTCCTGGGGAGAGTGAGTAGGGCCGAAACCTGTTAGAGTCAGTGGGCCAAAGCTAGTGTCGTCCTGAGGAGAGTGAGTAGGCCGAAGCCTGTTAGAGTCAGTGGGCCAAAGCTAGTGTCGTCCTGAGGAGAGTGAGTAGGCCGAAGCCTGTTAGAGTCAGTGGGCCAAAGCTAGTGTCGTCCTGAGGAGAGTGAGTAGGCCGAAGCCTGTTAGAGTCAGTGGGCAAAAGGTACTGTCATCCTGAGGAGAGTGAGTAGGCCTAAGCCTGTTAGAGTCAGTGGGCCAAAGCTAGTGTCGTGCTAAGGAGAGTGAGTAGGCCGAAGCCTGTTAGAGTCAGTGGGTCAAAGCTAGTGTCGTCCTGAGGAGAGTGAGTAGGCCGAAACCTGTTAGAGTAAGTGAGCAAAAGGTACTGTCATCCTGAGGAGAGTGAGTAGCCCTAAACCTGTTAGAGTCAGTGGGCCAAAGCTAGTGTCGTGCTAAGGAGAGTGAGTAGGCCGAAGCCTGTTAGAGTCAGTGGGCCAAAGCTAGTGTCGTCCTGAGGAGAGTGAGTAGGCCAAAGCCTGTTAGAGTCAGTGGGCCAAAAGCTAGTGTCATCCTGAGGAGAGTGAGTAGGCCAAAGCCTGTTAGAGTCAGTGGGCCAAAGCTAGTGTCGTCCTGAGGAGAGTGAGTAGGCCGAAGCCTGTTAGAGTAAGTGAGCAAAAGGTACTGTCATCCTGAGGAGAGTGAGTAGGCCTAAGCCTGTTAGAGTCAGTGGGCCAAAGCTAGTGTCGTGCTAAGGAGAGTGAGTAGGCCGAAGCCTGTTAGAGTCAGTGGGCCAAAGCTAGTGTCGTCCTGAGGAGCGTGAGTAGGCCGAAGCCTGTTAGAGTAAGTGAGCAAAAGGTACTGTCATCCTGAGGAGAGTGAGTAGGCCAAAGCCTGTTAGAGTCAGTGGGCCAAAGCTAGTGTCGTCCTGAGGAGAGTGAGTAGGCCGAAGCCTGTTAGAGTAAGTGAGCAAAAGGTACTGTCATCCTGAGGAGAGTGAGTAGGCCTAAGCCTGTTAGAGTCAGTGGGCCAAAGCTAGTGTCGTGCTAAGGAGAGTGAGTAGGCCGAAGCCTGTTAGAGTCAGTGGGCCAAAGCTAGTGTCGTCCTGAGGAGAGTGAGTAGGCCGAAGCCTGTTAGAGTCAGTGGGCCAAAGCTAGTGTCGTCCTGAGGAGAGTGAGTAGGCCGAAGCCTGTTAGAGTCAGTGGGCCAAAGCTAGTGTCATCCTGAGGAGAGTGAGTAGGCCGAAGCCTGTTAGAGTCAGTGGGCCAAAGCTAGTGTCGTCCTGAGGAGAGTGAGTAGGCCGAAGCCTGTTAGAGTCAGTGGGCCAAAGCTAGTGTCATCCTGAGGAGAGTGAGTAGGCCGAAGCCTGTTAGAGTAAGTGAGCAAAAGGTACTGTCATCCTGAGGAGAGTGAGTAGGCCAAAGCCTGTTAGAGTCAGTGGGCCAAAGCTAGTGTTGTGCTAAGGAGAGTGAGTAGGCCGAAGCCTGTTAGAGTCAGTGGGCCAAAGCTAGTGTTGTCCTGAGGAGAGTGAGTAGGCCGAAGCCGGTTAGAGTCAGTGGGCAAAAACTAGTGTCATCCTGCGGAGAGTGAATAGGCCGAAGCCTGTTCGAGTCAGTGGATCAAAGCTAGTGTCATCCTGAGGAGAGTGAGTAGGCCGAAACCTGTTAGAGTCAGTGGCCAAAGCTAGTGTCATCCTGAAGAGAGTCAGTAGGCCGAAGCCTGTCAGAATCAGTGGGCCAAAGCTAGTGTCGTCCTGAAGAGAGTGAGTAGGCCAAAGCATGTTAGAGTCAGTGGGCCAAAGCTAGTGTCGTCCTGTGAAGAGTGAGTAGGCCGAAGCATGTTAGAGTCAGTGAGCAAAAGCCTGGCGCGCCAAAATTTGTCCATGCCTGACCCAGACATTCCTACAGAGAATAGAATCATGTTGAAGGGCCTACAGAGAATAACTCTCGCAATCTCTTGGTCCTTCAGTGTCATTCTATGGTCAACCTCTGGCTGCTGTTTGATGTTGTGGTGTGCACGGTGGGCTGCACTATAGTGTTTGATCTCTTTCTCATCCTCCCCTGAACCTTCCCAGAGCCATATACAGTTCGGGAAGCCAGGATCCATGTCCGCCACATCCGAGACCTCCTGAAGAGCCTTGATCCCTCAGATGCCTTCAATGGGGTGGACTGCAACTCGCTCGCATTCCTTAGTGTCTTTTCCGACGGGGACCTTGGAGGTAATCCAGACACGGCCTTCTCATTGTTTCTGCTATTATGTGGGGACATCCTCTTTCCTTGGTTTGTTTCTGTTGCCATCCCAAGTGACACAGCCCTTACTTAAGTTTAGAACAGTGTTTCTCAACCTTCCTAACGGCACAACCCCTTAATACAGTTCCTCATGTTGTGGTGACCCTCAGCCATAACGTTGTTTTCGTTGCAACTTCCCAACTGTCATTTTGCTGCTGTTATGAATCGTAAGGTAAATATCTGATATGCAGGATGTATTTTCATTGTTACACATTGAATGTAATTAAAACATAGTGATTAATCAGAATAACAATGTTTGGGGGAGTATGGACAACAGATGATGGGATTTGCAGTACCTTCAACTGCTTCAGCTCTGACTTACGCAGACCACTGAGACCCCCACAATTGACAGACCTGGACCAAACTTTGCATACAGAACTCCAAGTTTGGGAGGAATTGACAGTGATTTAGGGGAGAAACAATTATGGATCCGGACCAGATTTGGCAGAAATACTCAATATGCCCAAATGTGAACAGTAGTGGCGTTTAGGGAAAATAGACTTTCACATTTGGGAGCTGTAGTTGCTGGGTTTTATAGATTACCTACAATTAAAAAGCATTCTGAACTCCACCAATGATGGATTTTAACCAGACTTGGCAGAACTCCCATAACCAACAGAAAATACTGAGTTTTGTGAGCATTGACCTTGAGTTTTGGAGTTATAGTTCAACTACATCCAGAGCACACTGTGAATCCAAACGACAACGGATCTGGACTAAACTTGGCACGGAAACACAATGTGGTCAACTTTAAATACTAGCAGGGTTTGGGAAAATTGATCTACAATTTTTGGAGTTGTAGTTCACCTACATCTTTATGTATTTTCTAATGGGTGCATTAATAAAAAAAACAAAAAGGAAAGACTGACTTTTTTTCTAATAAATAGTTCTGATGCTGCTCCTCCTGCTGGTGTTGCTGGGCCACTCTCAGTCCTACGTCATGTGTGCTCTTTCCCCCCTGCCTTGAAGGGACTTGCGGGCCTCCCTCCAGCTTCACATGCTCTCCCTCGCTCTGCCATGTGCCGAGCATGCTTGCTCTCCCCTCCCCACTTGGAGTCTCAGAAACAGCCCTCCCCTTGGCTGAGAGGCTGGCCAGTCACAGCGGAGGAGGTCTTTTAGTGGGAGGATTCGCCACCATCTGTTTCCAAAATAATAATAATAACTTTATTTTTATACCCCGCCAACCATCTCCTCTAGGGGACTCGGGGCGGCTTACAAGGGACTAGCCCAAAAATTACAATAAAACACAACAGATTAAAACATCAAATATGAAAATATAAAAACAGTCAGAATTGTAAACAAAGATCAAGCAGTATGGCTGAGATAAAGAAACCTGGAAGAGAAGGTCAGGCGGAGAGATCTTCAGCCTTCTCTGCCAAATGGGTTCCTAAGACAATCAGAAATAAATATTTTCTGATGGTCTTTGGTGACCCCTCAGGAGTCCCGACCCCCAGGTTGAGAAACGCTGGGTTAGAACTAATCCTGGCACGTTGGGCATCTAAGAATGAGTTCTAGGGGCCCATCCCCTTGTTCTTTCATTATTTAAAAGCAAATTTCTAGTCCTGGTCTGCAAGTTTTTCTGTTAGTTAGAACTGATCTACTTTCTCCTCCATGTTTTTGTTCTAGACAGTGACAAGCGGAAGAAGAAAGGGACAGAAATGGAGCAGATTGACTGCACCCCTCCTGAGCACATCCTGCCCGGAAGCAAAGAGAGGCCCCTCTGCCCACTTCAGCCCCAGAATAGAGACTGGAAGGTAGGTAGACTTGCAGATTGAGGTTTTACTCATGACGTGTCTTATCATTTTATATGTTTGAAATTAAATCATTCAAACAGCCCTTAAAAAGCACAGCATTTTGGAAATATTGTAAGTCAACACACCTTCGAAAGTGGTGTTTGTGGAGGACATTGTGCATGTTCATGGCACTCACTATAACCTGCAGTGTCATTGGAGGGCCTTTGGTGTCTCCTGAGTAGTGGGAGATAGAGCTGTTTGAGGAGGCAAGAGCTTGTCTGTGTAAGTGGACAGCCCAGCCCCATACACACGTACATATTTTCTACATTAAAAATGTAATGTCCATTTGTGGGATTAACATAACTCAAAAACCACTGGACGAATTGACACCAAATTTAGACACAATACACCTCTCAGGCCAACAAATGACCATCACTCATAACAACACTGAAAAACACAGTGGAAGAGAAAAAGCTAAAAAAAAAATACATTACAACGCATGCTCAAAACCACACATATATACCCAAACACACATATATACACATATACACAAATATATACACACACAAAGCACATATACACAAAGTGGGACACAGCGACATGTGGCAGGGGATGGCTAGTGCATATATATAGATATGCAACAACAACAAAATGAAATTAAAACTTCGACAAAAAAAGTTTTCCACACAGCTTTGTCTACACTTACAACCTCTACACATAGTAAACAAACACCTTCTAGCGCAAATATAAGCCTCACACTTATATTATTGCCTGTTGGCTTTAACTTCTTATTTCTTGGTCCCTTTAAGTATCACTTTATTTTTACCTTTTGACTTTTAATAACTATTTTCTATATGAGAGCCCCCAGTGGCGCAGTAGCTTAAACCGCTGAGCTGCTGAACTTGCTGATCGAAAGGTCGCAGGTTTGAATCCAGGTAGCAGCGTGAGCTCCCACTGTCAGCCCCAGCTTCTGCCAACCAAGCAGTTCAAAAACATGCATATGTGAGTAAATCAATAGGTACGGCTCTGGTGGGAGGCAGTAGCGCTCCATGCAGTCATGCTGACCACATGACCTTGGAGGTGTCTATGGACAATGCCGGCTCTTTGACTTAGAAATGGAGATGAGCCCCAACCCCCAGAGTTAGATACCACTGGACTTAATGTCAGGGGAAAATCTTTACCTTTATCTATATCAGGTTGAAGATTGTCTCCATCTTTGCTATATAAAAAGTAATACTTACATCCCAGCCTTTTTTGAATTTCGTCAAGTATTTCTCCTTAATCAACACCGCCAAATCAAAAACCATAATTTTGCCTCCCAAACTTGCTGTTGACTTATACATGAGGTTGAGTTATACCACTTATTAGCATATGTCATGTGGGCAAGCACTTAAAAATATGCTCCCACTCCAGAATAAGAAAATTTTGTCCTGGGGTTAAAATAATAATAATAATAATAATAATAATAATAATAATAATCTTTACTTATAACCTGCCACCATCTTCCCAGATGCAGAACAAAATTTCATCAAAATAAAATACATACAGTAGCAAAATAAAATAAATAAAACTTTAATATAAGTCTTAACGGTGGCAAAAAAGACATACATCATGATTCAAGTGCCTTGCATTGCTCCTAATGGGAAGTCTCTCCTGCCCCACAAGCCTCTTCAGTGCCTGAAAGTACTGACGATGAGCGGCTGGAACCCTCCGCCTGGAAACCGGAAGATGCACGGAGATCTCATGTACCTTTATGTCATCACGATGGAAGATCGTCACGTGAGCATCACGGCATCCACGCGAGGCTTTTACCTCAATCGGTAAGTAGTCACACATTGCCGTGACTCATATCGCCTTTGTTTACTTGGAAGTCCCTAGTAGTGTCCTCCAAAGGATAGTCAGATTATACCTTCACTGTTCTATATGGCAGCAAATGCCTCTTGTTTAGTCTTACCCTGGTTTTGCTGCACAGTTTTGCAAATTTAATTTATCCTTCATCTTCCAGTTCTTTTTTCCTCTTTCTTTCCCTTGTTCTTCCCCTTCTTTTTCTCCTCCTCCTCCTTCTCCTTGAGTGTGATGCCATGGGTTGCTTCAAGAACAATTCCTGCCATTCCCAGTACCAAATAGGACTGCAGTCTCTTTGGTTTTCCCTTTCCCCACCTTTTAAGTTTCCCTTCTCTTCATCTCTGCAGGTCCACAGCCTACAACTTCAACCCGAAGCCCGCCAATCCCAGCTTCCTCAGCCATTCCCTGGTCGAACTTCTGAACCAGATCAGCCCCACGTTCAAAAGGAACTTTGCTTCTTTGCAGAAGAAACGGTGACTTTCCCTTCTCTTTCCCTCCACACTTTCCTTTCCCATGTTTTGGGTTTCTTTGGGGTGGGGAGATACTATTATTATTATTATTATTATTATTATACAATATATTATATTATTATTAATAATAATAATATAATTAATATTATTATTATACAATATATTATTATTATATTATATAATAATAATAATAATAATAATAATAATAATAATAATAATAATATAATAATGGGTGCCATGCCAAAAGATCTCAGCCGGCATTTGGAAACAATAAACATTGACAAAATCACAATCTATCAACTGCAAAAGGCTTGGATCTGCGCACATCATTCGAAAATATATCACACAGTCCTAGACGCTTGGGAAGTGTTCGACTTGTGATTTTGTGATACGAAATCCAGCATATAGTTCTCGTTTGCTGTGACATACTGTGGTTTTGTGTCAGTAAAATAATAATAATAACAACAACAACAATAGGTTGTTGTAGGTTTTTTCGTGCTATATGGCCATGTTCTAGAGGCATTCTCTCCTGACGTTTCGCCTGCATCTATGGCAAGCATCCTCAGAGGTAGTGAGGTCTGTTGGAACTAGGAAAATGGGTTTATATATCTGTGGAATGACCAGGGGGAGACAAAGGACTCTCTGAGGATGCTTGCCATAGATGCAGGTGAAACGTCAGGAGAAATGCCTCTAGAATATGGCCATATAGCCTGAAAAAACCTACAACAACCCAGTGATTCTGGCCATGAAAGCCTTCGACAATACAAATAACAACAACACCAACAACTTTATTTTTGTATCCCGGCTCCATCTCCCTGAAGGGACTAGTGCACATACGGCACAACGTGCCAAGACAAAGCATAAAATAAACATATAGTGCAATACAATAAAGTTAAAAGTATAGCATATTAAAAAAACAGTTTAAAACTCATAAGAATGTCCAATGATCTATGGTGACAACTATTGTAAGACATGGCCAAACTGTAAACAAGACAAGGGAATGGGATAGTGCAAATTGTAGCTAAGGAACTGGGCATGGGACAAAAGTTCCACAAATATATAAACCTCACTTGCCTAGTTTCCAACAGGCCTCTCAACCTCTGCGAATGGCTGGCTATCAGGATTAAAAAAAACTCTAAAATCAGGACAGTAAATTAAAAAACAACACTCAGACAGGAAACAATCAGGGCCTGCTAACAACTCCCAAAAAATGATCCCCCAGGCAACAACCAGCAAGACTTTGAAGCTGCAAAGCTATTCAGTTCTAATCAAGGTCGTCAATTGCAACATTCACACTTGCCTCAAACAGAAAAGAGTTCCGTCTCCCACCCTGGACATTATTCCACAGATATATAAACCTCACTTGCCTAGTTTCCAGCAGACCTCATAAGCTCCGAGGATGCCTGACATAGATGTGGGTAAAATATCAGGAGAGAATTCTTTTGGAACATGGTCATACACCCCTGAAAACTCACACCAACCTAGTGACTCCGACCATGCAAGCCTTCAACAACACAATAATAATAATAATAATAATAATAATAATAATAATAATAATAATAACACAATTGTGTTAAAAAACAAAGTATGGACCGTTGATGTTGCAATCCCAGGTGACAGCAGGATTGAAGAGAAACAACTGGAAAAGCTGACACAATATGAGGATTTAAAGATCGAACTGCAAAGACTCTGCCACAAGCCAGTTAAGGTGGTTCCAGTGGTGATCGGCACACTGGGTGCAGTGCCTCAAGACCTTGGCCTGCACTTAAACACAATCAGCGCTGACAGAATTACCATCTGCCAGCTGCAGAAGGCCACCTTACTGGGATGTGCACGCATTCCTTGTCGATACATCACACAGTCCTAGACACTTGGGAAGTGTCCGGCGTGTGATTCAATACAACAGCCAGCAGAGTGTCTGCTGTGGTCTCATCTTGTTGTGTTTCAAATAATAATAAGAATAATAATATCTGCACGCATCATTTGAAAATACATCACACAGTCCTAGACGCTTGGGAAGTGTTCAACTTGTGATTTCGTGATACGAAATCCAGCATATAGATCTCATTTGCTGTGACATACTGTGTTTTTGCGTCAGTAAAATAATAATAATAATAATAATAATAATAATAGTCTCCAAACTTGTACATAAAGTATATCCTTCAAATATATGCTGATAAAATATTTCCATTCTTCTGATTTTATCTTCTGTTTCTTATTCTTCAACAACATTTGTTGATTTGTGCGTTCCTGTTAATTCCCACACCTCCACTGTCCAATCTTCCATAGTTCTTTTAAGGTCCCTCTCTTGATCTGTGGTGAGGTTTAAAGAGGGGTTTGCATTATAATCTGCCTATTCTTTGACCCCAAACCAGCGTCCAGCGGCATCCGTTGGAGCGGATCTCAACCCCCTTCCAAGTCTACACCTGGACGGCGCCTCTAGCCGAACACGCCATGGACTGTGTAAGAGCCGAAGATGCTTATACCTCAAGGCTTGGCTACGAAGAGCACATCCCAGGACAGGTAACAAAAGTCGGGGTGGCAGGGTGCATTCACTTGAATCCTACAGTGAGCATTGACATGGGCCAGGCTTTAGATTAATCACCAACAGCAATAGATCTTACCAATTGATAGGTTTGCAGTTTGAAGCCCGGGTTGGTGGGAGCACCCGACCTTCAGCCCAGCTTACTGTCCACCGAAGCAGTTTGAAAACAGCTGTGAGTAGAGAAATTAGGCACCGCTTAAGCAGGAAGGTTTTTTATGGCATCATAAAGGAAATATCAAAAAAGGAGGAAGTCTGTGATTGTTGCAACTCAGGGTAGTTTCACCTTGCTCCCAAACACCAGCACAACAGAGCTGTAGATTTTGTAGTTTATTGAGAAAAAAGGCAAAACCAAATCATAGAATAAGAAATGCAAATGTTCCATAAGCAGGACAAAGGCTTAAATGCAAAACCACAGTTCCCAAGATCCAAAGGCAAAAACATGAAGCATAATCCTTCAGGCAATGATCAAATAAGAGCCCATGGTAAAACAGTGAAACACAAGACCCAAAATCCCAGATTCAGGAAGCCAAAAGCGAGCTGCTTAAAGCCAAGGTTAATCCATAGGAGTTTGCATGGAAAGAGCCACGTTGAACTGACAACTCCCGTTTGTCAGCCAAAAGGCTAAATACCTTTTGCAGTCATGAACACATTGCAATGACCCTTGGCCAACTTGGCTTCTCGCTTTCCAGCTAAGCGAGAGCTCCTTCGGACCCTTAATTCTAAGCATTCTTGCCTGCTCATTATTTCACTATCTTCGTGGCTCTCTTTATCTTGGTCCAGCTGGACTAGATCACCATGGAAAGGCTGGGGAGGCGAAGACAACTCCACCTGGCCATTATCTATCCCACTGACATTCTTTTCCCTTGAGAACTGACATGATGTTTCCCCTGCTGCACTGTCTGAAGCAGGCACAACAGAAATCTGAATCCCATCATCCTCTTCATCAGGGAACTCTGGCTCACAAGACCCACAGGGTTCAGTTTCAGACTCAGAAGCAAACTGAGTCCCAACAGTGATCAAGGCTCTCCATCATAGAGAATGGAGCAACAGCACCCCCTGTGGCCGGAATCGAGCACAACCACCAGGACGCCGAAGCCGACATAATACCTCTATCTGTTGTCTGTCCTGTCTGTTTAACGGCATTAAACATCTGCCATGTGTGTGTTCTGTGATCCGCCTTGAGTCCCCTTCGGGGTGAGAAGGGCAGAATATAAATACTGTAAATAATTAAATCCGCATTCTGTGCTGTCCGCCTGCACACATTCACCTGCAGGCAGGATTAACATCTCGTTTCCCCTTTAGACAACAAAGCTCTTGTCGTTTTGAAATTCTCAACTTTTGGGTCATTTATCAGACATTGAGGATTGCTAGAGAGGTGTTAGTCCTCCATGATCGACGTCCAGCAGAAGTTGACCATTGTGTGTGTTCTTCTCTCATCTCCTTTTCAATCCTTTTTTCAGACCAGAGATTGGAATGAAGAATTGCAAACAACCAGAGAACTGCCAAGGAAAAACCTACCCGAGAGGCTGTTGCGAGAACGGGCCATCTTTAAGGTAACTTATTAGCACATAGTAAGGCAGGAAAAGCGATAGGAGGCAGCGGCGAGGGAAACCGAGTTCCGATCCTCAAAGGTGGAAAGTCAAGCGTTGACCTGGAAATTTAGACAGGAAGCTTGGAGGCAATCTCAATCCGATGGTGCTTTATTTTTATTGATCTGCTGGAAGAGTAGAATACAACTCTTTTAACCCATGGATGGAAAAGTTGACCCCCAACCTGAAATTCTGAAAGCCATACTCTTGACATTGGTGTATAAAATTTGAATTTGAAATGCCTCTGCTATGCCTTAATTACTGGTTTGGATGTATAAATCAAAATACGTTGGTATCTTTCGCTGGGTGAATGGGTTTAATAACAAATACCCTCCCCATAAATGCACCACAGAGTAACTTAACAGCAGCAGCATGACCCAAAACCTGTAGCCAAAAGTGATAAAAAGAACAGAAACACACAAACCAATGTTATATCTTTCTTAGGAGGCTTTTCTTTGTAATAATATAATATAGTTGCGCTATTCACAACAGCAAAGTTTCCATCCATAGCATAAAGTTCTTTTTACTTCCTTCTTTGCTTCCACACTGGGCTTCTTTTTCATGCAGATAAACAGCTTCGTTCTCACAGAGCCTCCTCTCACACCAGTTACACAGAAGCTTCACACAGTAGCTTTTTACACACAGCAGCCTTCACACACGAGGCCTTCAGCCTAGAGCTTCTCTTCTCTGCTTCTCACACCAGACCTACTCAAACTGAGGCCTACCTCACACTGAGGCCTTTCTCCCTATGAAGGCTTCTCACACAGGGGCTTCTTTCACACTGAGACGAACTAACACTGAGGCCTACCTCAAGAAAGAAGATCCCATCTGAACATTAGGAAGAACATCCTGACTGTGAGAGCTGTTCAGCAGTGGAACTCTCTACACCAAAGTGTGGTGGAGGCTCCTTTGGAAGCTTTTAAACTGAGGCTAGATGGTCATCTGTCAGGGGTGCTTTGAATGCAATTTTCCTGCAGGGGGTTGGACTGGATGGCCCATGAGGTCTCTTCCAACTCTATGAGGCCTCTCTCACAGTGAGGCCTTCTCACACTGAGGGCTCTCTCAGACTCAGGGCTACTAAGCTACGGGCACACCTGCTTATAGAGAGCTACAGCTTTTGCTGAGTAGTTGCATCCATTTAACTCTTTCAGTGCTTGACTCACATTATTGTAATTAAAAATACCTAATTAATTTTTAATATTTCTAACAATGAGAACTTGGCTGAAATTGATTCCAGGCCTCAAGCAGAAAATGTATCCCTTGCAATTGATTGAGTTCCTGGTGGCGTCCAGAAAGCAAAGTTAATGTTCTCCATCACTGATCTCTTGCTTCATAATGACACCTTGCAATCCTTTGTATGCCTCAATCCCACTTTGTGCTCTCCAGCTGGTGTTCAATCCCAATTCCTATATTCTCCGGCCAGCAGGTTCTGGCGTTTGTGGGGCATGGAAGTTTTAGACTCCCGCACCTGAAGGTTCATCAGGAAGGGGGTGGAAGGTTTCCTTGACCGTCCCTTTTTTGCTTCACAGGTCCATAGTGACTTCACTGCCGCAGCCACGAGAGGGGCCATGGCAGTCATTGACGGCAACGTGATGGCCATCAACCCGAGCGAGGAGACCAAAATGCAGATGTTCATCTGGAACAACATCTTCTTCAGCCTGGGCTTTGACGTCCGTGACCATTACAAGGACTTTGGCGGAGACGTGGCGGCCTACGTGGCTCCCACCAATGACCTCAATGGGGTCCGGACGTACAATGCCGTGGATGTGGAAGGGCTGTACACCTTGGGCACGGTGGTGGTGGATTACCGAGGGTACCGGGTGACTGCCCAGTCCATCATCCCGGGCATCTTGGAGCGGGAGCAGGAGCAGAGCGTCGTCTATGGCTCCATAGACTTTGGCAAGACCGTGGTCTCCCACCCCAAGTATCTGGAGCTGCTGGAGAAGACCAGCCGGCCCCTGAAGATCCAGAAGCATACGGTACTCAACGATAAGAACGAGGAGGTGGAGCTGTGCTCGTCCGTGGAGTGCAAGGGCATCATCGGCAACGACGGGCGCCACTACATCCTGGACTTGCTCCGCACCTTTCCCCCCGACTTGAACTTTTTGCCCGTGGAAGGGGAGGAGATGCCGGAAGAGTGTCAGAAAATGGGGTTCCCCAAACTGCACCGGCACAAACTCTGCTGCCTACGCCAAGAGCTGGTGGATGCCTTTGTGGAGCACAGGTGAGTCCATCTCTGCCTCCCCGTTCCTTCCAGGATCCTATAACTTCGCCTTGTTGATAGCAAGGCATTCTGTTGATCTCATTACATTTATAAAGAACTTTATTAATATTTAGCAGTGTTTGAGTAACAATGCACTGGAGGTGTCTATGGACAACGCCAGCTCTTCCGCTTAGAAATGGAGATGAGCTCAACCCCCAGAGTTGGATACAACTAGACATAATGTCAGGGGAAACCTTTACTTCTACTAAATATTGTAGGCGAGATGAAGACCGAGCAGTGAAAGACTAGAAATGGAATCATAATCTCAGATGTTCCCATTTAAAGACAACCTAATGATATCGGGGGGGGGGGGGGGCATTTTACCTAACAACACAGTGTTTCTCGCGAGCCCTTAATGCAGTTCCTCATGTGGTGGTGACCTCCAACCATAACATTATTTCCATTGCTACTTCCTAACTGTAATTTTTTTACTGTTATGAATCGTCATGTAAATATCTGATATGCTGGATGCATTTTTATTCACTGGACCAAATTTGGCACAAATACCTGATACACCCACATTTGAACACTCGTGGGTTGTGGGGGATTGATTTTGTCATTTGGGAGTTGTAGTTGATTGTAGTTCACCTATTTTCGAACTGCTAGGTAGGCAGAAGTTGGGCTAAAGGTCAGAAGCTCACCCTGACTCGGGCTTCGAACTGTCAACCTTCTGGTTGGCAAGATTTTTTGCTGTGTTAAAGCCCGGCCCAATCTTAGTCAGGTTTGGATGCGACCCAAGCTTGTTTGAAACAAGCCAGCATCATGCCATGTTTAATAAAGCTGGCTCGTCCTGACCAACCATATAATGGACATTGTTAAGTGTTCAGATGCAGTAGAGATATAATGTGTTCCAGTGTGCAGTGTTAGCTTACAGGAGGGGAAGAGTGGAAATCTCTCAGGAGTTGAAAGGAGTCAGGGTTGACTTTGGAGAATGTCTGGAAGATGATTCTAAAGCTACTGGAAGATGGGCAGGATACAGTAGTGTTCTGGTTTGGGGCCCATCTCCAAACGGTGTCGTTATTCCCACGGAGTTTGAAATCCCCTTTGTGCGGGGCTCATTGGACAATATTTTCTGTTTCCCTTCCTCTGCATGATAGGTATCTCATGTTCATGAAGTTGGCGGCCCTTCAGCTCATGCAGCAGAAAGCCATCAAGCAAGAGAGTGTCACTAGCCTGGAAAATGGGGGCAGCCCCACCTCTCCCTTTCCAGAGAATGGGGTTGAAGAGGGCGAGAAGTCCCCCTTGGAAGATGGAAGGCTGGAAGACAAAATGGATGGCAAGGGAGAGGACAACGTGGCCGGGCTCGACCAAGTGAAAGAGCTCACCGAGACAATCGCGTCGGACGACGGAGCAGGTATCTGTCACCCTACAAAATGATTGCCTATCACCCCAAATGATCAAATGTAATTATAGTAGAGAGATTATATTATGCACTAACACGAAAAGAGAAAAGAACTACCCTCCAAAGGACAATGGATAATAAACATTCCTTGAGATTGTGTTGCCAGGAGCCACATGCTTTACCTTAGCAAATATTCGATATTTATTATTTATTTACTAACCATATTTATATACCATCTTTCTCTGCCCGAGGGCAACTCAGGGTGGTTTATAGACAGCACAAGTCGATGCCTACGGTAGACGTCATGGCTGTACTTTCTGCATCTTTGGTCAGGGGTATGACCATTGCAAAACTCATGCTTCTTTCTTTCCCTTGTGCTCAGTGGACCCCAAAAGCAGAGAGGTGATCCAGAAGGCCTGCAAAGCTGTTGGCTCCATCAGCAACACGTCCTTTGATATCCGGTTCAACCCAGATATCTTCTCGCCAGGTAAGACAGGCATCCAGGTGGAGCTAGAGAAGAGTCAGGTTGGGAGTGGCTGTTCTAGGAGTTGTAGGATCTCTATATGCATAAAAGTCAAAGTCTGTTCTATCTGATTGTACCACAAAGGTTGTTGCTAGTTGACAGTCCAGTGGCCCTTTGTAGTGTCCCTGGAGTGCCTGTTGAGGGGTGAAGTGGCCCTCTGGGATGTCACTGGGAAAGAAAGGTGGCATGTAGGAGGGGAGATGAGGGAGGAAGGAAAGAGCATGTTGCCATGGAGAACTTGTGAGATAAGCCAGTTTAGATCTGGAGAAAGAAGAGGGGAAGGGAAGAAGGAAGGAGGGGAGAGAGGGAGGTGTTGCAGTTTGTTAGTTTTTATATTGAAATTACACAGCAGTCTTCCCAGCTCCAGGCCCCAAGTTGAAATACACAGAGTATAAAAGAAAAATAATCTTTACTCTTGAGTAATTGACACATGCAGCTTTATAAAGAAAAATACAGTAGCCTTGAAAACACATTGTCCATCATTGTCCATCGCAGAAGAAAAAACACTTACAAAACAATGCATTAATCTGCTTCTTTCCAGCAAACCTTGTAGTGTAGTTCCATCTCTGATTACTTCATTTCACCCACTACCTGCATCAAGAAAACTTCACCTGATATACATCCTAATCAGGGAGTGGTTCTTCCTCAACACACACATATACTGAAAAGATGATTCTTGTCAAGACTTACAAAACCATATACTGTAACACTCCTCCTTGTGTGTAGAGGAAAACACAATACATAATACAATTACATGGTACACTCACAAATTCCCAAATCATTCAAAACATTCTGATGTTTCTGTACACTCAGTGGCTTAGTTAGTACATCAGCTAGATTTAGATTTGTATTACAATATACCATATCAATTTCACCATTTTTCACTGCATCCCTTACACAACTGTACTTAATATCTACATGCTTGCTTCTTTTACTCTGGCCTGTGTTGCCATTGTGATGCATGTCTGATTATCCTCATATATTGTTGTTGGATCTTCAACAGGTATTTGCAAGTCTTTAAGCAGTTGTTTGATTACACAAATCTCTGTATATGCTAAGCTAAGTGCACCAAACTCAGCCTCACTGGAACTTAAAGCTACATAACTCTGCTTCTTCGACTTCCAGTCAATTACAGCATTAGAAAACTTAACTAAAACTCCTGTTGTCGATTTCCTATCAGTACAGTTGCCGAAATCACTGTCTGTATATACCTGCAAGGATAGCGAATCATCTGGACTTAATGCCAAACAAAAATCTTGTGTTTGCTTTAAATATCTTGCCACCCTCTTAAGTCCATTCCATGCAGCAATGGTTGGGTTGCTTGCATATCTGCTTAGAAAATTCACAGCAAATGCAATGTCTGCTCTGGTGTAATTACATATGTACAATAACTGACCAATAATGCTCTTGTATAAGGCTCGGTGGCCTGATAGGTGGACGGTGTCCAAATTTGGTGTTGAGGGGGAGGAATTAAGGAACAAAAGAAAGAGAAAAAGGAGGGAGTTAAAGAAGAGAGGAAGAAAAAGAAAAAGAAGGAAGGAAAGAAAGAAAGAGAAAAGGAGGGAATGAAAGGAGAGTGGAAGGAAAAGAAGGAAGGAAGGAAAGAGAAAAAGAAGAGCAAAGGAGGGAATTGAAACAAGTGAGAAAGAAAAATAAATAATGAAGGCAAGGGAAAAGTAGGGAGGAGGGAACAAAAAAAGGAGGGAATGAAAGGAGAGGGGAAGGAAAAGAAGGAAGGAAGGCAGGAAAGAAAAGAAGAAAGGAAAAGAAAGGAAAGAAAGGGAAAAGAGGGGTGAAGGTGTATAAGGAAAAGCAAGGGAAGAGGGAAGAAAAGAAAGGAATGGAAGAAAGGAAGGAAAAGGGAAGGAATGAAAGAAAGAAAAGGAAGCAAGAGAAAGGAAAGTGTGAAAGGTATGAGGCCAAGGAAAGAAAGAAAGAAAAAAGAAAAAGAAGGAAAGAAAGAAAGGAAAAGGAAGGGGAGAGGAGGGAAGAAAGAAAAAGGAGGGAATGAAAAGAGAGGGGGAGGAAAAGAAGGGAGCCAAGAATGAGAAAAAGAAGGGGAAAGGTAAAAAAGGGAATGAAAGGAAAGAGGGAGGAAAAGAAGGGATGAAAACAGAGGGGCAGTGGCCCCTCTGACACTCAGGCAACTCCTGGTAGTATGCTAGTTAAAAATAACGGCTCTCGAGCTTTTAAATGGAAATAATAATAATAATAATAATAATAATAATAATAATAATAAATCCAGCATATAGATCTCGTTTGGTGTGACATACTGTGCTTTTGTGAAATCTAACATTTTGAAGATGCATATCTGTTACTCTCAAATGTGTCATTCCCTTTCTCTTCTGAAGGTAGTTTCTGCTCTTCTTAAATGGAAATGATGCAGGGACTCCTAACCCAAATCTACAACAGCATAACTATGCGTCGCATTTTGCAGTGTCATCACCTTGGCTTTCAACAATTGTAATGCTCACCATAGTTAGCAGGTTTTTTTTTTCTTATATGGGCAGGGAAGACATGTATATTCTGCCAGGTTTTCAGTGGGTTTTATTTGTCTGTCAATTGTGCAGTTTCGTTTTTCTTTCTCGTATTTTGTGCTATTGCTATAAGCCACCTTGAGGGCACTTATGGAGGAGGTGCGCAATGGCAGTATAAAAATATCTAAAAATATATTTAAATAAATAGTGTTAGGAGCTGATAGCAGAGATTACTCCCTTCTTATTTCCTCCTCCATCATCTCCTTTGTTCTCTTCTTTCCATTGTAATGTTTTTTTTCTCTCTCTCTCATCTTCTAGGTGTCCATTTTCCAGAGTCCAGCAAAGAACAGATTCAGGATCAGAAGCGTTTGCTGAAGGACGCAGCTGCTTTCCTGGTTTCCTACCAAATCCCAGGCTTGGTAAGTAGAAAAAGGATCATAGAGTTGGAAGAGACCTCATGGTCATCCAGTCCAACCTCATTCTGCCAAGAAGCAGGAAAATTGCATTCAAAGCACTCCCCAACAGATGGCCATCCAGCCTCTGTTTAAAAGATGGAGCCTCTACCACACTCCGGGGCAGAGAGTTCCACTGCTGAACAGTTATCACAGTCAGGAAGTTCTTCCTAATGTTCAGATGGAATCTCCTCTCTTGTGAAGCCATTGCTCCATTGCGTCCTAATCTCCACGGCGGCAGAAAACAAGTTCGCTCCCTCCTCCCTATGACTTCCTCTCACGAATTTATACATGGCTATCATGTCTCCTCTCAGCCTTCTCTTCTTCAAGCTAAACATGCCCAGCTCTTCGAGCCGCTCCTCATAGGGCTTGTTCTCCAGACCCTTCATTGTTTTAGTCGCCCTCCTCTGTAATTGTGCTTCTTCTTCAACCGCTCTGAGTCGCCTGAAGGCTGAGAAGAGCGGTATATAAATGAAGCAAATAAATAAATAAATAAATAAATAATTTTTTCCTTTGCAGGTCAAAGACTGCCTCGACCACACCATGCTGCCAATGGATGGGGCCACTCTGGCGGAAGCCATGCATCAGCGGGGCATCAACATGCGCTACTTGGGCAAAGTAGTCGACTTCATCACCAAAACCCCGGCCCGGACTCAGCTGGATCACATCTATGTAAGCCTCGCCATCCTCCATTTGTCCTTGCTTTAAAACGTCGGCCTCTGCTTCTCTGGAAATTATTTACCACAGCTGTACTTCCAACGTAACCAATCTGGCTGGAGGCTTACTTATGTAAACAGTCATAATGTATATATATTTATAAATACAAATATACAAATATAGTAGATAAATAAAATAAATAAATTGTTGGTGGAGTTCAGAATGCTCTTTGATTGTAGGTGAACTATAAATCCCACCAACTACAATTCCCAAATGACAAAATCAATCCCCTCTCAACCCCACCACTATTCAAATTTGGGTGTATTTATTATTTATTATTTATTTACAGCTTTTATATTCCGCCCTTCTCACCCCGCGGGGACTCAGGGCGGATTACAGTGTACACATATATGGCAAACATTCAATGCCAATTTTTGACATATAAACATATACAGACATAGGCAGAGGCCATTTAACTTTTTTCTGGCCACCAGGGGAGCTGTCGCTTTCATCGTCCATCTGCGATGCTGATGAAGCACTTCCGCATTCCCCGCATGCTTCCCCGCTGGAATGCTTTGCTGGAGTCTTCTTTATGGCCTCATAAATCAGTTAATTTAGCCTCCCCACACTTTAAGGTGGCACCTAATTTTCCTACTTGACAGATGCAACTGTCTCAGTTGCAAAGGTCAACAACAGGCTACACACAATTGGTTGGAAGCCCACTCCAACCCGGGCTGGCTTTGAACTCATGACCTTTTGGTCAGAGTGATCTTAATGCAGCTGACACTCAGCCAGCTGCACCACAATCCCGGTGTAGCGTGTATTTGTGCCAAATTTCATCCAGTGAATGAAAATAAATCCTGCATTTCCGGTACATTACATTATGATTCATAACAGGAGCAAAAATGACAGTTATGGAGTAGCAACGAAAACAATGTTATGGTTGGGGGTCGCCACAACATGAGGAACTGTATTAAGGGGTCGCGGCATTCGGAAGGTTGAGAAACACTGTCCTAATGGGTGTTCTCCTGCATTTGTATTTTCTCCGGACAGAAAATCGGCATCATGGAAGTGATCACTCGGTCGGCCAAGCACATCTTCAAGCTCTACCTCCAGGTACAAATCGGATTCTCTGACCCCGAACGCCCTTCGCCCGCCTGCCCTTTCCTGCTCAGAGGTTGTGCGCCGCTCTCGCTCGCTCTCTCCCGCCTTCCGTCCATCGAGGAAAACCGTTTCCTCATTAGTCCTTTTGCGACAGTTGCCTAGCAACCCCAAGTACAATCTCATTAAGGCCCGAAACAGGTGCCAGCCTGTGAGCGTGTGTGTGAGTGTGCGCGTGTGGAGGTGAAATGATTCCCCGCTTGACAACCACAAGTAGGGGAGGCATTTGTTTTCCAAAAGGTGGGTGAGGTTGTTCGTGTTCTTTTTGGCCATGAACAAGAATGGCTTCATCCGCGGCTACTTTTTAACTGAGATCAGATATCCCTGCATCCTTCAGAAAGATGCACTTTGGACAGATTCCCTATTTCCCTTGCATTATCCATCCCTCCAGCCCCATCTGTATAGCAGTTGGGTTTGTTCCAGAAACGACAACACTTCCAAACATTTTGCATGCGAAATGGGTGCTTCCTGGGCTCTCTGCGCAATTGCGTGTGTGCAGAATTTTACAAGGGCTCCAACACACAAGCGGGATGTGCTGTTTGTAATAAAAGCCCTCCGCCTTGTGTTGCATGAGCATCTCTTCACATCCATGTAGGCAAGAAGCAGGTGGCAACGCTGAGACTGCCAAGTCTTTGGAAATTCTGGGAGACTTTTGGAATAATTTTAATGTATTGCTGATTGTTGTTTTTATGATGTCGGCATCCTATGATGCTTTTGTGAGGCCACCCTGAGTCCCCCCTCGGGGGTGAGAAGGGCGGGGTAAAAATATAGGAAATAAAATAAATAATAATAAATAATATTGTATATGTATTGTCGAAGGCTTTCATGGCCGGAATCACTGGGTTGTTGTAGGTTTTTCGGGCTATATGGCCATGTTCTAGAGGCATTTTCTCCTCTAGAACCTCTAGAACATGGCCATATAGCCCAGAAAAACCTACAACAACCCAATATTGTATATACCTGGTGTTGGGCAAGTGGATTTATTAATAAAAGACGTCCTCATAAACTTATAGCAGAACTAGCTGTACCCGCCACGCATTGCTGTGGCCAACCTTCCCTCCCTCTTTCTCTCCTTTTTTCCTATCTTTCCTTCCCTCCCTCTTTCATTCCTTCCCTCTTTTTCTTTCTTTTTCTTTCCCTTCTTCTTTCTTCCTTCTCTTCATGTTTCTTTTCTCACCTCTTTTGCTCTTTGGTTCCACCCTTCCTTGTCTCTTTCCTTCCTTCCCTCCCTCTTTCTCTCTTTCGTTCCTTCTCTCCTTTCTCCCCTCTTTCACTTTTTTATTTCATTCTCTCCCTCCTCTCCTTCCTTCCTTCTCTACTCTTCTTTCTTTCCTTCTTTATCTCCTTCCCTCCTTCTTTCCCTCCTTCTCCCCTTCCTTCTATACCATTTTCTTTCCTTCCTTCTCTCCTTCCCTCCTTCTCTTCCTCCTTCTCTCCTTCCTTCCTTCTTTACCCTTCTTTTTTTCCTTCCTTCTCTCCTTCTCTCCTTCTTTCCCTTCTTCTCCCACACTTTCTATCCTTCCTTCTCTCCTTCCTTCTTTACCTTTCTTTCTTTCCTTCTTTCTCTCCTTCTTTCCCTCCTTCTCTCCCTCCTTCTCTCCTTCTTCCCTCGGGAAGGGGTGGGGGAAGAGAGGGGGAGCTGCGATGGATTTGGGCAGGGCGGGAAGGGGCGGGGTGGGGTTTGGAGGGGGCGTGGCTTCCTTGGAGGGGCGTGGGCGGGGGAAGAAGAAGGATGGAGAGGAGGGATGGATTTAGAGGCGGGGCGGGGGAGGGTAGAGGCATGCCGTGAATGTGGGGGGCATGGCGTGAACGGAGGGTGCGTTGGAAAGAGGGCGTATGGGAGGGTAGGGGCTGGGCGACGGAGGATGGGGGCGTGGCTTGTGCGGAGGGTGCGTTGGCCGCCAGGCCGTGTTCGCGCGCCGGGGACTTGCGGCGGGGCGCCTTTGCGCATGCTCAGTTGTTTTGTCTAATTGTGAGTGTGTTTTAATGTTGTTTAGAATTTTGAATCGATTTGTGCATACCTTGTGGGTTGAGGTATGTGCATGGTAAATTTGGTAAATTTTCGTCGGGAGGTTTTTGTGTTTTGCTGTCCCGTTGGACGCCCTTTCTCTTTTTATATATATAGATAACTTCTTAGCAGCAGCATGACCCAGCACAAGTAGATCAAAGTGATAAAAAGAACAAAAACATAGAGACCAATGTTATCTCTTCCATAGGAAGCTTTTCTTTGTATTAAAATAATATAGTTGCACTATTTACAAGAACAAGGTTTCCATAACATTATAATGTGTAATGCAATATAATACTAATAATAATATGATATTATAATTATATATTTATATTACATGTAATATTACGAATAATATTACAATATAGTGATATTTAATACTGATATTGTATTACGCTAGTAATATAATATATTGTATGTATATATATCTTGTAAGCCGCTGTGAGTCCCCTTCGGGGTGAGAAGGGCGGCATATAAATGTCGTAAATAAATAAATAATAACACATATAAACAAATACGCAGTAGCTTTAAAAACAGCAGACTTCACACTGGAGCTTTCTCACACAAGGCTTCTCTCACACAGAGGTTTACCTCACACTCCTCAGGACAACACTATCTTTGGCTCACTAACTAACAGGCTTCGACCTACTCACTGTCCTCAGGACAACACTGGCTTTTGCCCACTCACTGTAACAGGCTTTACTCTACTCACTCTTCTCAGGACAATACTAGCTTTGGCCCACTGACTCTAACAGGTTTTGGCCTACTCAAGAACTAGATTTCCATAACAAAAATAAACAAATATATAGTAGCTTTACACACAGCGGGAGCCCCCGGTGGTGCAATGGGTTAAAGCCCTCAGCTGCTGAGCTTGTTGACTGAAAGGTCGCAGGTTTGATTCCGGGGAGTGACGCGAGCTTCCACTGTCAGCCCTAGCTTCTGCCAACCTAGCAGTTCGAAAACATGCAAATGTGCGTAGATCAATAGGTGGGAAGGTAACGGCGCTTCATGCAGTCATGCCGGCCACATGACCTTGGGGGTGTCTACGGACAACGCCGGTTCTTCGGCTTAGAAATGGAGATGAGCGCCAACCCCCAGAGTCAGACATGACTGGACTTAATGTCAGGGGACAACCTTTACCTTTACACACAGCAGCCTTCGCACTAGAGCTATCGTACACAAGGATTCTCTCACACAGAGGTTTACCTCACACTCCTCAGGATGACATTAGCTTTGGCCCACTAACTCTTCAACAGGCTTTGCGCTACTCACTCTCCCCAGGACGACACTAGCTTTGGCCCACTGACTCTAGCAGGTTTCGGCCTACTCAAGAACTAGGTTTCCATAACACAAATAAACAAATATTTAGCTTTACACACAGCAGCCTTCACACTGGAGATATCTCACACGAGGCTTCTCTCACACTGAGGTTTACCTCACACTCCTCAGAATGACTCTAGCTTTGGCCCATTAACTCTAACAGGCTTTGGCCTGCTCACTCTCCTCAGGAGAACACTAGCTTTGGCCCACTGACCCTAAAAGGCTTCAGACTACTAACTCTTTCAGTGCTTGACTCACACTTTTGTAATCAAAAATGACCAGTTAATTTTTAATATTTTTGACACCTGGCATAGCTTGGGTATGCATTTTCTTTGTGGCTCTTTCCTTCCTCCCTCCATTTCTTTCATACACTTTCTCTTTACTTTCTTTCCTTCTTCCCTTGCTTTTCCTCATACACATTCCCTTCTCTTCTTTCTTCTCTGCATTTCTCTTTCCTTTTTTTCTTCCTTTCCTTTCCCTCCCTCTCCTCATACACTTCCCCCTTCCTTTCTCTTCCTTCCCTTTTTTTCTTCCTTTCTTTCTTTCCTTTTTTCCTTTCTTCTTCCTTTTTATATCAATTTGGAGAGGTGTGTGTATGTATATATATATGTCAAAGTATGTCTGTCTATGTGTCCGTATGTCAGTCCACAAAGACTGTTGCTAAGTAACAATCCAGTGGCCCTTTGTGATATCACTAGAATAGAATTATTATTATTATTATTATTATTATTATTATTATTATTATTATTATTATTGTGTGGTTTTCTGGCATTGTATATTTCTGCCTCTTCTGTGATTGTTCATTTGTACAAAATCCAGCATATAGGTCTCGTTCACTGTGACATACTGTGCTTTTGTGTCAATAATAATAATAATAATCTTTATTTATACCCCGCTACCCTCTCCTCAAAGGAGACTCAGGGCAGCTAACATGAGGCCAAGCCCAAATAAAAAATACAGCAAAGTTAAACACAAAATAACAGAAAAATTAAATCACAACAAATACATGAAGTAACAAAACAAAATAAAATAAACAGTGCAAAACAACATAATAGAAATCAAACACAAGAAGGAAAGAGCCACAAAGAGAGACATTGTGAGCTCAAAGGAGAAAGGGAAGGGAAAGAAAATAGGAGGGAAAGAAAGGAAAGAAGGAGGAAGGAAAAAGAAAGAAAAGGGAAAAAGGTATGAAGGAAGAGAGGGGAAAAAAAGGAAAGAAAACAGGGACCCCTCTGACACACCAGATAGATATGCTAATGGGCAAATCAAAGTAATACAAGTTATCGAAGCATTGCAGGAAGTATGGATTTGGAGGATGGATATTTCTACCATTTGAGCTCCACACATGAGACTTCTCTTCTTTTCCTCCTGCTCCCCTTTGCAGGGTGTTGAGCTCTCTGGGTTGTCCGCCGCCATCAGCCACTTCCTCAACTGCCTCCTCAGCTCCTTTCCCAACCCGGTTGCCCACCTTCCCGCGGACGAACTGGTCTCCAAGAAGAAGAACAAGAGGAGGAAGAACCGCAACCTGAGTGCCTCAGACAACACCGCCTGGGCCAGCATGAGCCCGCAAGAACTCTGGAAGAACATCTGCTCAGAAGCCAAGAGTTACTTCGACTTCGAGCTGCAGTGGTAAGTGACTCCGGGCCTCCATGGCTGTCGGTCAGCATCATGAGCGTTCTTTTGAGAGTTCACACCTTCAATGAATCTTCAAAAGAGAAGTAACTTTCTCTTCATCCTTTATTAATCTGCATAATAAAGGAATCTGTTTTGCGTGCTTGCTTGTGAGTGGATTTCATCATAAGGATCTGCAGCCCAGGAGATAAGAATGGTCAGTACTGGTCTAGACTGGATGTAGTTATCGTGTCAGGAGCAAGCCAAACAGTTGTATTGCATTTTTAAACAAACAAACAAAACACAAAGTTTGCAAGCTTGGTAGTTGATTAGATGTCCTTTGACCAGTAGCTGGCCACTTGGAGTGCCTTTGGTGTTACTATAAGAAAGTCCTCCATTGCCCTCAGGTTGCATCACAGCAGATGGTCTGTAGTTTGCTCTTCTCCACACTCGCATGTCATAGATTCCACTTTGTGGCCCCATTTCTGAAGGTTGGCTCTGCATCTCATGGTGCCAGAGCTCAGTCTGTTCAGCGTCTTCCAAGTCACCCAGTCTTCTGTGTGCCCAGGGGAGAGTCTCTCATTTGGTATCAGCCATTGATTGAAGTTTTGGGTTTGAGCCTGCCACTTTTGGACTCTGGCTTGCTGAGGTGTTCCAGCGAGTGTCTGTAGATCTTAGAAAACTATTTCTTGATTTAAGTCATTGACGTACTGACTGATACCCAAACAAGGGATGAGCTGGAGATGTCACTGCCTTGGTCCTTTCACTATTGGCTGCTACTTCCCAGCGGATGTCAGGTGGTGCAATACCAGCTAAACAGTGTAATTTCTCCAGTGGTGTAGGGCGCAGACACCCCGTGATAATGCGGCATGTCTCATTAAGAGCCACACCTACTGTTTTAGTGTGGTAAGATGTTTTCCACACTGGGCATGCGTACTCAGCAGCAGAGTAGCACAGCGCAAGGGCAGATGTCTTCACTGTGTCTGGTTGTGATCCCCAGGTTGTGCCAGTCAGCTTTCGTATGATCTTGTTTCTAGCACCCACTTTTTGCTTGATGTTCAGGCAGTGCTTCTTGTAGGTCAGGACACGGTCCAGAGTGACTCCCAGGTATTTGGGTGTGCTGCAGTGCTCCAGTGGGGTTCCTTCCAAGATCACCCTCAGAGCTCGAGATGCTTGTCTGTTCTTAAGGTCTAGACTGTTCTTAAGTCTAGACTGGATTATACTGGGCTATACTGAGCCTATAACCCTTGTTGGGAGAGTAGGCTTATTAACAAAAGACACTCCCCATCAACGTACAGTAGAGTAACTTATTAGCAGGTCCCCATAAATGTACAGCAGAGTAACTTATTTGGGCTACTGGTGACCCAGCTCCAGTAGCCCAAAGTGGTAACAAGAACAAAAACATACAGACCAATGATATTTCTTCCTTAGGAGGCTTTTCTTTATAGTAAAATAATATGGTTGTACTATTTACGAGAATAAGGTTTCTGTAACACAAATCAAGTTCTTTATATATCCTTCATTGCTTCCATGCTGGATTTCTTCCTCATGCAGACGAACAGCTTCACTCTCACAGAGACTCCTCTCACAACAAACTTATACTGGAGCTTCACACAGGAGCTTTTAACACACAGCAGCCTTTATACACTGGAGCTTCACACACAAGGCTTTACAACCTGGGGCTTCTTTCACCAAAGCTTCTCACACCAGGCCTTCTTACACTTGGCCTTCTCATAGTCTAAGGCAGGGGTCCTCAAACTAAGGCCCGAGGCTGGATGCAGCCCTCCAAGGTCATTTATCCGGCCCTCGCTCAGGGCCAGCCTAAGTCTGAAATGACTTGAATGCACACAACAGCAACAACAACAACAATCCTGTCTCATCAGCCAAGAGGAGGCGCACACTTCCCATTGAAATACTATTAAGTTTATATTTGTTAAAATTGTTCTTCATTTCAATTATTGTATTGTTTTTAAATGTTATTTGCACTACAAATAAGATATTTGCAGTGTGCATAGGAATTTATTCATTTTTTTTTTTCAAATTATAATCCAGCCCTCCAACAGTTTAAGGGACTGTGACCAGGCCCTCTGTTTAAAAAGTTTGAGGACCCCTGGTTTGAGGACCCCTACCTCACACTGTGAGATCTTCTCTCACAGACCAAGACCTACCTCACACTGGGGCTACGTCACACAGAGGTTTCTCTCACAGACTAAGGTCTTCCTCACACTGGGGTCTACCTCACACAGAGGCTTCTCTCACAGACTAAGGCCTACATCACACTGTGAGGCCTTCTCACAAACTGAGACCTTTCTCCCACTGAGGTTTACCTCAGACTGATAGCTACTGAGCTACAGGCACACCTGCTTATATAGAACTGCAGCTTTTGCTGAGTTATTGCATTCATTTAACCCTTCCAATGCTTGATTCACATTTTTCTAATTAAAATATAATTTTTAATATTTCTGATATTTTTGTCCCTGTCCCCTGAAAGGGTGACCAGGCAATGAGTCTCAGCCCTTTTCATACATGGCAGCTCCCATAAATTGACATTTTTTTTTGTGCTTTCTCCAGCGAGAGTGTTGACCAAGCAGTGGAGGTTTACAGCTTGCAGAAGATTACCCTCCTCCGCGAGATCTCCCTCAAAACTGGAATCCAGGTGCGGACAATCATTCTTAAATCTCTCCGGACAGTTTTCTTTCCAAGTTAGAAACCCATTGGCAATGACTTTATGCCCTACTATGTAAAAAGAATTATAGTTGGCCCTCTGTAGCCTCAGATAAATTAGCAGAACGCAACCAAGCATGACGTCTAATTGACGTAGCCGTGGCATACAAATCTGTGTGTTTCAGATCCTGCTGAAAGAGTATAACTTTGATAACCGACACAAGCCAACGTTCACAGAGGAAGACATCCTCAACATCTTCCCAGTTGTGAAACACGTCAACCCCAAAGCTTCGGACGCGTTCCACTTCTTCCAGAGCGGGCAGGCAAAAGTGCAGCAAGGTAGGAAACCGACAGTGGCCTCGGGGGTGAAGTGGCCTTTTCCAGATTTCATTCTGGCTGCAAAATGGGCAACTTAGAGATAATGTCCACTGAATCACCATGCCTATTTGGCCCGCCCACTGTGTTTTATTTTCCATTATGTTATTTTGTAGTGTTCATTTTACTTGATTGGTTTATTTATTTTATTTTGATGTTATTTTGTTGTTTATATTTTATGTTGCTGTAATGTATCGCTGGGCTTGGCTTCATATAAGCTGCTCCGAGTCCCCTTTGGGGAGATGGTGGCAGGGTATAAATAAGGATGTTGATGATGATGATGATGATTATTATTATTATTCTACGAGTATTTATTTATTCTTCATTTATATACCGCTTTTCTCAGCCCTCAGGCAACTCAAAGCAGTTAATAACAGCAAAATTCAATGCAAAAACATCACAAAACGAATATGGGACAGTTAAAAACAGTAACATCATCAATGATTAAACATCAGTATAACAATAATTAGCGTCTCATTAGTATATAGAATATATACTGATGAAGTATATAGAATCATACAGTTGAAAGGGACCCCAAACGCCACCCATCCCAGCTCCCTTCTACGAGGCAAGAAGACACCATCAAAGCCCTCCTGACAGATAACCATTCAGCCTTTACTTAAAAACCTCCACTGGATTCCCAGGCAGCTGCATATTTCATAGTCAAACTGCTCATACCATCAGAAAGTCCTTCCTAATGTTTAGATGGAATCTGTTCTTCTGCACCTCCAAATGATCAAGGGTCTGGAGAACAAGTCCTATGAGGAGCAGCTTAAAGAGCTGGGCATGTTTAGCCTGAAGAAGAGAAGGCTGAGAGGAGACATGATAGCCATGTATAAATACGTGAGAGGAAGTCATAGGGAGGAGGGAGACTAGGACGCTACCCTGGAGACTAGGAACAATGGAACAATGGCTTCAAACTACAAGAAAGGAGATTCCATCTGAACATTAGGAAGAACTTCCTGACTGTGAGAGCTGTTCAGCAGTGGAACTCTCTGCCCTGGAGTGTGGTGGAGGCTCCTTCTTTGGAAGCTTTTAAACAGAGGCTGGATGGCCATCTGTCAGGGGTGCTTTGAATGCAGTTTTCCTGCTTCTTGGCAGGGGGTTGGACTGGATGGCCCATGAGGTCTCTATGATTCTATGATTCTACATCCACAGAAAAGTAGACATGTGCATATGGGATAGGTGACACCTAAACTTTGAGATGGACTTCCTGGCAGTAAGAACCAATAAACAATGGAATATGCCACTTCCTCGAAGTCTGGTGGAGTCCCTTTCTCTAGATGTTTTTCAATATAGGCTGAATGGCCATCCATTGGGAGTGCTTGGATTGTGTCCTCCTGCCAAATAGAATGGGGCTGGACTGGATGTTTTGGAAAATTTGAATCACCATAACCATTTGAGAAATGGAATTCATAACCTTTTTGGAAAGTCACTGATCACAATAATAATAATAATAATAATAATAATAATAATAATAATGAACTTTATTTATACCCCGCCAACATCTCCCCAAGGGACTCGGAGCTGCTTACATGAGGCCAAGTCCAACAACACATCAATAAAACAGAAAAGCAATAAACAAAAAACAATACAATTAATATAGATCACATATAAACAATAACACACAAGGATTAAAAACCTATGGCATGGCTGTGTTAGACGTTCACAATCTGTTGAAAAATGATATTCACCAGCATTCATGCAAGGCAATTAGGTCTCTCAGCTGTTAAACTGATGTACCTAGGTATGTCTTTGAACTACCAGGGACAAAGACATGCCGATGCACGAAAACACATATTCAGCAGGGTTTCAGAAGTGTTCCTTTAGATGCACAACAAACACCTACTCTCCCTAAATATATATTTTCCTTTAAATCATGCTCTCAGGAGACAAAATAAACAGTCTCCTTTAAAAGTAACAGTTGGTTTACTCACAAAACTTCATACAATACAGTAAGCAATTCTATGGATCCCGTGGTGGCGTAATGAATTAAACCCTTGTGCCAGCAGGACTGCTGACCGAAAGGTCAGTGATTTTAATCTGGGGAGCGGGGTGAGCTCCCGTCTGTCAGCTGCAGCTTCTCATGCGGGGACAGGAGAGAAGCCTCCCACAGAATGATAAATCATCCAGGCGACGTCCCCTGGGCAACGTCCTTACAGACAGCCAGTTCTCTCACACCAGAAGTGACCTGCAGTTTCTCAAGTCACTCCTGGCATGAAAAAAGCAATTATATACATAACAAACAACTAGTGAAGGTTTAAGAAGGTTGAGTCCCTCTACAGAGGTAGAAAAGGTCGGGATATAAATTTTTAAAATAAAATAATTAATTGCTATTTCTAACAGGATGACCTTCGGGACTGTGGCGTAGCTAGTTGGGAGTCAGCTGCATTAAGATCACTACTGACCAAAAAGTCATGAGTTCAAAACCAGCCTGGGTTGGAGTGAGCTTCCAACCAACTTGTGTAGCTTTCTGTCAACATTTGCAGCCCAAAAGACAGTTGCATCTGTCAAATAGGAAATTTAGGTACCACTTAAGCAGGGAGGCTAATTTACGACGCCATAAAAATCTCCAGCAAGCATGCAAAGAATGACAAAGTACTTCATCAGTGTCACAAACGGACGGTGAAGCGACAGCTCCCCTGGTGCCCAGAATACCCTCATGAAAAAGCTGGAATGTTAAATAGCCTCTGAGTGTCTGTCTGTATATGTTGTGTGTCTATGGCATTGAATGTTTGCCATGTATAAGTACATTGTAATCCTCCCTGAGTCGCCTGTGGAGTGAGAAGGGCGGAATATAAATACTGTAAATAAATAAATAATAAATTTTCCAACTCTCATTCTTATTGAATAGTTCCGGCGTTATACACAAACTGATGGAAATGTGTTGTTGTTTTTCCTTTTGTGTATCTCAGGTTTCCTGAAGGAAGGATGCGAGCTGATTGGCGAGGCCTTAAACCTGTTCAACAATGTGTATGGTGCGATGCACGTGGAAATCTGTGCCTGCCTGCGGCTTTTGGCCCGCCTGAATTACATCATGGGGGACTACTCAGAGGTATGGAGCTTGTGGTCAGTGATGTGCCCTCGGGAAGCCCGCCAACTGGGCATGAATCAGATACATAGATGGGCAATGAAGGTGGAATTAGATTCCTCAGCTAGGAGATAAGGTAGCCAAAGTGGACATCGGGCATCTGTTGGGGCACAAGAATGTTGTTGTTATTGTTTTCTTAGACACCCTTCCCCATGGATTGAAATGAGAAGCTATCTGAGGGAGCAAAACTTCCTATATTTCTTAGATAATCTGCTTGGAAAATCTTATATCTTGGTTTCCTGACATGAGACCTTTGGGCCTTTTTCTTCTGTTGTCCTTTTTTTTTAGGCCTTAAGTAATCAACAGAAAGCGGTGCTAATGAGTGAGAGAGTCCTTGGCATTGAGCACCCCAACACCATCCAAGAATATGTAAGTAACCTTCAGGGAGTTGGATTCAAGATTGGATTCTCCCCACTTTCAAACGCATTAGACCTTGTGTTGGTGAAGGCTTGCTGTGAGTTTTCCAGGCTCCCATGAGAAAATGCATAAGGATGTGGGTGAACTATAATTCCCAAAAATCTTGGGTCAATCCTCCCCAAACTCCGCCAGTATTCACATCTTGGGTCTGTGTGCCAAATTTGGTCCAGAGCCGTCACCCTCTGTGTTCGGTGTTTTCTGAATACAGGTGAACTATAACTCCTCAATTCCAATGTCAATCACCCCCAAGCCCAGCCAGTATGCACAGTTGGCCATGTTGCGTCTGTGTGCCAAGTGTGCCTGAGATCCCTCATCTGCTAGATTCAGTATTCTCTGAATATGGGTGAACTATAAGTCTCTGATGCCAAGGTCAATCACCTGCAAAGCCTTCCAGCATTCACAGTTGTCCATGTTGAGTTTGTATGCCAAGTTTGGTCCAGATCCATCACTTGCTGGGTTCAGTGTTCTCTGAATATGGGTGAACTATAACTCTCTGATGCCAAGATCAATCACCCCAAAGTCCACCAGTATGCAAAGTTGGCAATGTTGGGTCTGTGTGCCAAGTTTGGTCCAGAACCATCACTGATGGGGTTCAGAGTACTCACAGAATACAGGTGAACTGTAATTCCCAGAGTTACATCATATGTAATTATGATGTTGTTGTTGATTGTTTGCGTTTTCGGTTTTACTCTGTTGTAATTTGTTGTTTGGGCTTGGCCTCGTGTAAGCTGCTCTGAGTCCCCATCGGGGAGATGGTGGCAGGATATAAATATATTATTATTGTTATTATTATTATTATTAAAGCTCAATCACCCCCAAAGTCTACCAGTATTCCAAGTTGGCCATGTTGAATTGATGTGCCAAATTTAGTCCAGATCCGTCATCATGTGGGTTCAGTGTCTCTGAATACGGGTGAACTATAACTCCTGGAGGTCAAGGTCCATTACCCCCAAACTTTGCCAATATGCAAATTTGGCCATGTTGAGTCTGTGTGACAAGGTAGTTCCAGATCCATCGTTGGTGGGGTTCAGGGTACTCTTAGATTGTAGGTGAACTATACATCCCAGTACCTACAATTCCTATAAATCATGATGAATTCCCCCCAAACTTCTCTAGTATGTTTAGTTGCTGATCAATCCCTCTGTTTGCGGTGTACCATAGAAATGAATAGGAAAGGGTTAACAGAGAGGCAGTGGGTAGGGTCATGCAAATTCCACACCAATGGAGAGAGAAAGGAACACTGGGATGAGGTGCTCACTGTAACTTGCAATGTCCATGGAGGCAGTGATTTGGTGGCTCCCCAGTACTGTAGGTTAAAGTTGTTTGTGGAGGCCAGATGCTGTCTGTATCACGGGACATCCCTGCCACATACACACATACACAATTTTTATTATAATTGACACCACAGAGGGCCACTTCACCTAGCTTCAGCCAATCCATACGACCCATGGAATTCATAAAGTCCTCTTAGAGAAGGAAATAGGTGGTTTTACCAGTCCCTTCCTCTGAAAAACAGCCTACACCACCTTGTATTGCTACCCAGGGCTTGGGTCTTCTTAGCTTCCAAGATCAGGTGGGACCTGGTGCCTTTAGGATAGGCTTGCCATGAGACGGTGCCTCTTTTTCCTTTACAGATGCACCTTGCTTTGTACTGCTTTGCAAATAGCCAGCTGAGCACAGCCCTCAACTTACTGTACCGCGCACGCTACCTCATGCTGTTGGTGTTTGGCGAAGATCACCCAGAAATGGCTCTCCTGGATGTAAGTAGATACCTTGGGGCATCCGTTGTGGTTTCTTTAGGCTTGTTTTTTCTTCCTTCTTGGCACAGTTTACAATTGTATTTTTGGTATCTCATTTAAAAAAAAACTCCCTTGTAAACAACTTATAATTGTTACTGCTGCTGTTGGACTTAGAAGTTATACTTGAGAGTCAGAAAATCTTGTTGGTCCATCACAGAAACACTCAGAACTCCTATCAGATTTCAGTCTGCTTCCTGATTGCCCTGGCACAGACTACTGCCTACCCAGTGTGGAGGTCTGCAGACCAATGCCCATCTCACTTGACCTCTATGCAAATACAATAGTAATGTGGCACATCTCCCTGGCCTTTCATCTATTACTGGGCCTAGGCATGATGGAGCTGCGCCTGTGTCTCCTTCTCTCCCTTGAAGGGCAGAACTGTGACACTGTGAAAGAGAGGCAGGGGCTTTTCTCTGTGCCTACCTCTTCTGAGACCAGGGCACTGGCAGTTGGGATGGAGTGAAGCCTTTCCTCTGCTCTTGGGCCTAGGCATGATGGAGCTGTGCCTACCTCTTCTGAGGCCAGGGCAGTGGCAGTTGGAATGGGGGTAGGAGCTTTCCTCTGCTCATAGCCCTAGGTATTATTTATTTATTTACCATATTTATATACCGTCTTTCTCAGCCCGGAGGCGACTCAGGTATGACGGAGCTCCACTTGCCTGCTCTCTCCCTTGGAAAGTCAGGACAGTGGCAGTTGGGATGGAAGAGGGGGGGGCTTTCCTCTGGTCTTGGGCCTAGGCATTTATGAAGCTATGCCCTTCTCTTCTGAGGCCAGGGCAGTGGCAGTTGGGATGGAAGAAGCCTTTTCTCTGCTCTTGGGCCTAGGCATGATGGAGCTATGTCTTACTCTTCTGAGGCCAGGGCAGTGGTAGTTGGGATGGAGGTAAGCCTTTCCTTTGCTCTTGGGCCTAGGCATGATGGAGCTATACCTGCGTCTTCTGAGGCCGGGGCAGTGGCAGTTGGGATGGAGTGAGGACCTTTGCTCTGCTCTTGGGCCTAGGTGTGATGAAGCTGTACCTACCTACCTCTTCTGAGGCCAGGGCACTGCCAGTTGGGATGGAGAGAAGCCTTTCCTCTGCTCTTGGGCCTAGGCATGATGGAGCTGTGCCTACCTACTTCTTCTGAGGCCAGCGTAGTACCAGTAGGCATGGAGGGAATATTTTTCCTCTACTTTTGGATTAAGCATGATGGAGCTGTTCCTACATCTTCTGAGGCCAGGGCAATGGCAGCTCTTCTTCTCTTCCTCCAAGACCAGGGCAGTGGCTGGACAGGGCGCCTCTCTTCTGCTCTTAATCCTAGGCATGATGGTTCTGTGTCTGCCTTTTCTTCTGAGGCCAGGGCAATGGCAGTCAGGATGGAGGGAGGACCTTTCCTCTGCTCTTGGACCTAGTCATTATAGAGCTGTGCCTACCCCTTTTGAGGCCAGGACAGTGGCATTTGGGCTGGAGAGAGGACCTTTCTTCTGCTATTGAGCCTAGGCATGATGGAACTGTACCTACCTCTTCTGAGGGCAGTGACAGCCGTGCTACTTCTTCTGAGGCCAGTTCAATGGCAGTTTTTCTCTTCCTCCAAGGCCAGGGCAGTGGCAGTGGCTGGATAGGGTGCCTTCCTTCTGCTCTTAAGCCTATGTATGATGGACCTTCAGAGGCCAGGGCAATAGCAGCTGGGATAGAGGGAGGGCCTTTCAGCTGCTCCGTGACCTATGCATCATGGAGCAACTTCCATGCTGGGTTTCCCAGCCTTTGGTAACTTGGATGTGGGCAGACCTACCCTTGAGCATGCCCCTACCTTGTCTAACCATATCTGATTTCTTCTCTCTAGAACAACATCGGCCTGGTCCTCCATGGAGTGATGGAGTATGACCTCTCCCTTCGGTTTCTGGAGAACGCGCTCACGATCACCTCTAAGTACCATGGCAGCAAGTCCCTGAAAGTTGCACTGAGGTGAGCGCTCTACTTCTATTGAGAGTTCAGAGGCCAAAGTAGACAACCCATAAGTGTCTACTCTGATATACATCCTTCCACCAATATTTATTTATTTACAACATTTATATGCCACCCTTCTCACCTCGAAGGGGACTCAGAGCAGCTTACAAGATATATACACATACAATATATTATATTATTAGCATAGCACAATATTAGTATTATATATTACTATATTGTACTATACCATTATATTGTAATATTATTAGTAATATTACATGTAATATAAATATATATAATTATAATATTGTATTATTATTGGTATTATATTGTATTACATTATAATATTATAAATATTATATGTATATACATTATATTATATTATATTATATTATATTATATTATATTATATTATATTATATTATCATATGTAAAGCACAGAAGACAAGATGGAACTCTCTTCTGTCCCTCTCTCTCTTCACTTTGGCCGGAGCAGCAGAAGCGTTTTATTTATTGAAGACTTTTATTTATAGAAGTGTTTTATTTTCTCCCTTCTCCATCTTTCCTGCAGCCACCACTTGGTCGCCCGAGTGTACGAGAGGAAAGCTGAATTCCGATCTGCTCTGCAGCACGAAAAGGAAGGCTACACCATCTATAAGAATCAGGTATGTTCAGCCTTGCCCCTCGGTTCAAGCATCCATCTCCTTGATTCGTTTCATTTATGCTTTGTTTTTGTTTTTTAATGTAATTGAATATGAAACAGTGATAGGCAAATTGTCAAAAGTTTACAAGGAGAACACTGTTTGAAGAAAAGTGTTGCCCCTATGATGCACTTTTCCCTGTCCTAAACTGAAAGTCTAACCCCACTGTTTATCCTTTTTGGGCTCCTCTAAATTACACTCTTTCCTACCTCATCCAGGGTTTTATCATTTTATCGTCCATTTGGCCTGCCCATTGTGTTTGATTTTATATATGTCAATCTTCGTTGTGTATTTTATTTGCTTCTTTGTGTATTTTATGTAGTTTATTCTGATGAAATTTTGTTGCCTGCATTTTATATTGTATTTTTGGGCTTGGCCTCATGTTAGCCGCCCTGAGTCCCCTTTGGGGAGATGGTGGCAGGGTATAAATAAAGATGATGGTGATTATTATTATTATTATTATTATTATTATTATTATTATTATTATTTGAAACACAACAAGATGAGTCCACAGCAGACACTCTGCTGGCTGTTGAATTGGATCACACGTCGGACACTTCCCAAGTGTCTAGGACTGTGTGATGTATCGGCAAATAATGTGCAGATCCCAGTAAGGTGGCCTTCTGCAGCTGGCAGATGGTAATTTTGTCAGCGCCAATTGTGTTTAAGTGCAGGCCAAGGTCTTTAGGCACTGCACCCAGTGTGCCGATCACCACTGGGACCACCTTGACTGGCTTGTGCCAGAGTCTTTGCAGTTCGATCTTTAAATCCTTATATCGTGTCAGCTTTTCCAGTTTTTATTATTATTATTATTATTATTATTATTATTATTATTATTATTTGAAACACAACAAGATGAGTCCACAGCAGACACTCTGCTGGCTGTTGAATTGGATCACACGTTGGACACTTCCCAGGTGTCTAGGACTGTGTGATGTATCGGCGAATGATGCGTTCACATCCCAGTAAGGTGGCCTTCTTCAGCTGGCAGATGGTAATTTTGTCAGCGCCAATTGTGTTTAAGTGCAAGCCAAGGTCTTTAGGCGCTGCATCCAGTGTGTCGATCACCACTGGGATCACCTTTACTGGCTTGTGCCACAGTCTTTGCAGTTCTATCCTTAAATCCTCATATCGTGTCAGCTTTCCCAGTTGTTTTGTCAGCGCCAATTGTGTTTAAGTGCAGGCCAAGGTCTTTAGGCACTGCACCCAGTGTGCCAATCACCACTGGGACCACCTTTACTGGCTTGTACCAGAGTTTTTGCAGTTTGATTCTTAAATCCTCATATCGTGTCAGCTTTTCCTGTTGTTCCTGCTGTCACCTGGGGTTGCAACATCGATGATCCATACTTTGTTTTTTAACATGATTGTGCGGTCAGGAGTATTATGCTGCATAACTCTATCTGAATCCGAGGAGTTTGGCGTGTTCATTCTGTAACTCATTATAATAATTATTATTATTATTAGGGAAGGTGAGGTGGAAATATAACATTAGCCTGTTTAAATGTAATTGTAACTTTTGTGGTACTATCTGGAGATATTAGCAAGAGAGCCTCCAGTGGCTCAAATCAGTGCTTTTCCTTTCCCAAAGATAGGCATTTTGGGCAGTCCATGAAAGATGAGGATGGGCCCTAACAGACCTTTCTGGCCCAATCTGTTCTCCTTTCCCCGTGACTGATGATCTGTATTTTGTGACTAGCTTGGTGAGCATCACGAGAAGACCAAAGAAAGCTCTGAGTACTTGAAGTACCTGACTCAGCAGGCCGTGGCCCTCCAACGCACAATGAACGAGATCTACAAGAACGGATCCAACGCCAACATTATGCCGCTGAAAGTGAGTTGAGCCTTGACATTGACACTTGGTCTTGCTATGTTTAGGAACATGATTAGGAGGACATTTTGGGGACCTGGAGACCCAAAAATTTAGGAATGGCTCAAAGGCACACAACCACCTTCAATGAAAGCGGGGTTTGGAAGCCATCTATTTCACCCTTAGTAGGTGAAACATAGGATCTCATTGGCATCTTAATTCTTCAGCTGCTGACCTAAACTGCTGACCTAAAGGTTGGCATTTCGATCCACAAGATTTAGTGAGCTCCTGTCTGTTAGCTCCAGTTCCTGCCAACCGAGCAGTTCGAAAACGTGCCATGTGAGTAGATAAATAGATACCACTTCAGTGGGAAAAGGCAAAGAGACACTCCTCCAAGCAATTTTGCTGGGCACACAACCAGGAGGTTATGGTGAAGGCTCCTTGGCTTGAAAATGGAGAAAAGCACCTAGAGCCAGAAATGAGTACCGCCCCCAGAAGCCGGAAATGAAAGGAGAAGCCTCTGCCTTTGTTTATGTTTGTGTGTCTCATTGTATATGATTGTAAAGGCATTTAATGTTTGCCTATGTATGTAAATGCAGTAATCAGCCCTGAGTCCCCTAAGGGGAGAAGGGCGGAATAGAAATAAATTCTATTATTATTATTATTATTATTATTTTTTTTCGTGTCAGGAGAGACTTGAGAAACTGCAAGTCGCTTCTGGTTGTGAGAGAATTGGCCGTCTGCAAGGACGTTGCCCAGGGGACGCCTGGATGATTTTGATGTTTTATCATCCTTGTGGGAGGCTTCTCTCATGTCCCTGCATGAGGAGCTGGAGCTGATAGAGGGAGCTCATCCACCTCTCCCCGGATTCGAACCTGCGACCTGTCGGTCTTCAGTCCTGCCGGCACAGGGGTTTAACCCACTGTGACACCGGGGTATTATTATTATTATTATTATATTAGTGGGAAAGTAAACTTTGACTTTCTCCTCCCCCCACTTTTTTTCTCCACCTCCAGTTCACAGCTCCCAGTATGGCCAGTGTCTTGGAGCAGTTGAATATTATCAACGGGATTCTCTTCATTCCAATCAGGTAAACAGACCCAAAATGGTTTGGTTCACTCTGGGTAACATATCTTTTAAAAACAGACAGCTAAAACATATGTGATTAGGAAAAAACACAGTTATACTATTAATAATAATACAATATAAGATTTATATATTTTACTAATAATATTACAGTATAGTGGTATAGTGCAATTTAGTTATATATAATACTATATTATGCTGTGCTAATAATAAAATATATAGTATACAGATATAATATTGATAATAATATTATAATGTAATACAATATAATACTAATAAAATACAATAATAATTATATATTTTATATTACATGTAATATTACTAATAATATTACAGTATAGTGGGATAGTACATTATGGGAGTGTTAGGTACTAATACTGTGCTATACTAATAATATAATATATTGTATTTACATAGAACTTGTAAGCTGCTCTGAGTCCCCTTTGGAGTGAGAAGGGCGGCATATAAATGTTGCTAATAAATAGAAATGCTGCATTGGTTAGGGAAATACTACGAATGTGAGAAACCCAACTAGTAGAGGAACTGGGCCTGATAATTTGGGGTCATTTGGCCTCATAGTTTTTTGTTTTTAAGGTACTCATTACGGACAGAGCATTTTTATATAGATAGATTATTACATGTAATATAAATATATAATTATAATATATTATTATTAGTAGTAGTATATTGCATTACATTATAATATTATAAACATTATATGTATATACAATATATTATATTATGTATGGGCTTTGGATGGCTGGACACCTGATTCCTGTGTTTTCCTTGGCCTTCTCTCTCCCGAAGCATCCACTCCACTGGCTGCCCTCTTGGGGCATTCCTCCCCCGTTGTCTCTCTCAACGTGACCCCCTTTTCTTGGTGCTTCTCTCCTCGCAGCCAGAAAGACTTGGAGAACCTGAAAGCCGAGGTGCAGCAGCAGCAGCAGCTCCAGGAGGCCCTCAAGAGCGAAGGAGAGCGGCCGGAGGCGGAAGACAATCCCCCGGAAGAGAAGGAGGCCGAAGGGAGCCCTTTGGCCTCCCCAGCTCCCTAGTCTAGCAAGTTTTAGTAAGCCAGCCCTTTTGCAATGGAACCTGGCCTCGTTCGGGCAGCTTCTCTTTGGCAATGTGGTTTATCTTATTTTATTTTATTTTTTGTTTATTTTGATTTGCACTGGTACAATGAATACACAATGCAAAAGAACGAAATTTTGAGAAATTGGCCCTAACTGTCCTGGCTGCTGGAGGCGGTGCCCAAAGCCTTTCCCTTCCCTTGAGAGGCGGCCATGCTTTGAGAATGAGGAAGAGGGGCAGGAGAGACCCACATATATGTGTTTGTGTAACCACCAAGCCATTTCTGCTGTGTATATAAGAGATTTAATCCCAAGTGGAGCTATAATAACATTTCTCAGGTCATTTTTATGTTGGTTTCAGAGGACACTTGTGGGGAAAGGAGGCTCTGCCCCCCGTCCTGTTGCTCCAGTTTTGGCATCCTCTCTCTCCCTCCCCTGCCCTGGTTCATTATGACACTATAAATATTATAGATTAATTGTAGATTCTGCCATATTTTTTATCTAAACGTCTATGTGAGAGGCTGGGCTTTGAGGAAACGCTGGAGGGGAATTATTATTTTTTGCCCCGCCTCTAGGAGAGAGCCATTGGATTCCGTGCGGGTCCCAGTTTCTTTTTGTTTCCCTGTTTATTATTTTGGCAATCCAAATTTTTATTCGACGTGGCATAGCCCAGGGCAGGAGCAAGGAAAGCTAAGTTAGTTCTTCAGATCCCATTCGTTGCTGGCAGACTGTAAACAATAGCAGCTGAGACAGTGGAGAGGAGCAATGTGGCTCTTTTGAAGCCATTATGGTGGCTTTACCAGCTGCGGGCAGCACCGTGTCATGCTGGCACACCATTGCACTGTAGGCAAGGGGATATTGGGTATCTCCGGAGAGAAGGGTCGGAATAGTGCAAGCATGGGCATAGCATGGGAGTCCTGCCTGTCGGAAAGGGGATATTGGGTATGTCCGGAGAGACGAGTCGAAATAGTGCAAACATGGGCATAGCATGCCAATGGGTGTTCTTAACCCACCGTAACTTCCGTTGTCCAAAGATGCCCCTGAATCTTATTGCTGTGGAAGTGAGGAAGTGGCCATATAGATGGGCCACCTTCTTCTCAAAGCACCTTGTCTGTCTCCCTTCCCTTTTTGCCGGGGAATATCCCCAGTGCCTCGACGCCCCTTCCAGAGGGGCCGCGCGTGTGTGAAATCGCACAAAACAAAGCCCCCGGGACAGAGGGGTAGTTCGGGATTGTGGGACCCGGAGCGCTGCATGGCGTAGGATTCAGGGCAAGGGAGGAGAAGCAACGATATGGCTGTCACGGGCGCTCAGGCAGTTCAGGTCGAATCAATGTATTTTTCTGTTTCCGAGGTTGATCTGTGAATGTATTAAAAAGCAAGAATCATGAACCTACAAGCAAAGCTTCTTTCTTTCTCTCCCCTCGCTTTCTTCTTTCGCTGACGGCATACATCTTCCAAGTATAATAGAGTCTCGCTTATCCGACATAAGTACCGCATATAAAACGACTGGGCGCATAAGACAACCCCAACTTTTCTAGTTAAAATATAGAGTTTGGGATATACTCGTTGTATAAGACTACCCCTCTTCCAACACACACCAAATAAAAATTTGAAAAGCATCAGTTTTTCTTTCAATATGGTAATTTTCCTATTACTGTCCCTCCTTCTCTGCCTCTCAGATCTCGCACATGCGCACCTGCACCGCTTCACTGCAGTCTTCAGGAGCCAGCATATAAGATGACCCCCAACTTTTCCAGTCAAAATATAGAGTTTGGGATATACTCATCGTATAAGATTACCCCTCTTCCAACACGCACCAAATAAATTTTTAAAAGCATCAGATTTTATTTCAATATGGTAATTTTCCTATTACTGTACCTCCTTCTCTGCCTCTCAGATCTCACACATGCGCACCTGCACCGCTTCACTGCAATCTTCAGGTGCGAGATCTGAGAGGCAGAGGAGGAGGTAGAGTAATAGGATACAAGGATGGCCAGACAGGTAAAAGATTGGGTTTTTCTGGGCCTAGAGTCACTCTATCTCTTTTTTCCATACCCCGGGCGCCCCGGGCGCCTGCAACTTGCTCCACCCTTCAGTTACTTACACCTTCCCAGTGAGGCACCCCTTCATCTCACCATCAGGACTGCATTAAGTCCACAAATCCTGATGAATGGATTTTCTTCTACCGTACTTGTACAGCGTCACCCTTAATGCTTTCATACAGTCGCAGGGACACAGCCATTGCCATTTTTGAGTTCCACCCACAATATGCAGCAACCACAGATTCTCCAATCCGGATTGGAAGTTTCAGCACCCACTCTATAAGATGACTACTCCTGCATATAAGATGACTCCCAGGCATAAGGCTACTCCAGCATATAAGACTACTCCCACGTATAAGATGATTCTCACATATAAGACGACCCCTAACTTTTGAGAAGATTTTCTTGGGTTAAAAATTAGTCTTATACGCCAGAATATATGGTAGGCCGGCAGAAATTCAGATAAACTAAAATGTCAGATAATACGCAGTCGCCTGTTACCCATTCAACACGACTTAACAACAGGGACTCAAAGGGTTAAGGCAAGGCAATGCCCCGGGGCTAGAGCGATCCAGCAGGAAGTGCTTGGATGCGGAAGAGGAGCATGGAAATCACAGAGGGAAGGAGGGAGGATGCTTCCGCTTCTGGTCTTGCCTCTTTCCCCATTTTCCTCACTCCTCCTCTTCCTTATTTTACCTTTTTCACTTACCGTATATTCCGTCATATAAGACGACTGGGCGTATAAGACGACCCCCAACTTTTCCAGTTAAAATATAGAGTTAAGACAACTCCCATGCATAAGACTACACCTGCGTATAAGACGACCCCTGACTTTTGAGAAGATTTTCTTGGGTTAAAAAGTAGTCTTATACACCAGAATATACTGTATATTGGGAATGTAGAGAGGGTTGGGGAGCGTTCCTTTAATTGAAGGAGAATTGTTGGAGGAAAAGGGGTTCATCAGATAAGACAGAAGGTCGGATAAGCAAAGGTCGGATAAGGGAGATTCTACTGTACTTTCGCACTGGAAGAAGAAGAAGATGGTGGTGGAGGGTCTTGGCCTTGCTCGCGTTTTCCCCTTAAGGGGCTCGAATGTTGTTTTACGGGGAAGGCACCCTTCTGTTTCGACATCCCTCAAAAATAATAAGTGTTCCTACTGGGATCTGCCGTGTTTGTAGATCTCCGCTAGTGCTGACCGGTGAATGTGTCTCTATGATCATTTTTTCTCTTCCTTGCCAAGGCGTTTTGTCTCTGGATCCCCGACCCTCTCTTCCTAAAAGCACCTTTTGTATTGCTGCTTTTTTTGGTCGACTTTTGCAATAATAATTCCTGTATTGCCCACTGTACTCCAAATATATGCCTATCTGTGTGTGTGCGGGTGATTATCGCTGCTTATTTGAACGGGGCTGGCAAGTAAGGAGATGGAGAGCATGTCACTCTCCAGCTCCCGAAACCAGTCCATCCCTGGCGGCACCAGTGACACCTCACCAGTTATGGGAGGTTTTTAAAGTCATATAGGTGCCGAATTAGATGTGTCTGGACTGGCTGCCATAACAGCGGGGACTGGCTGGATGGCAAAATTCAAAACTTGCGCACAATTGTTTTGGCAAGGGAACAAGAGGATTAGGAATGTCACTTGCGCTTGGCCAAAGGCAGTGGTGTCAAACTTGTGGCCCATCAGGCCTTTTGGCCTTCCGTTTCCAGAATTCCTAGCCATTGGGCAAGCTGGCGAAGGCTTCTGGGAGTTGGAGTTCCAAACATCTGGAGGGCCACAAGTTTGACACCACTGGGTTAAAGTGACCAAATGCAAGGTGGAAGAGGACTTCCTTTGGTCTGGAAGTCAGGGCAAGAAGTCATCGAATTATCCTTCTTGGAAAGTGTTTCAATAAAGAACAAAATTTCATCCCACCCTTCAACCATTGTGGGTCCTTTTTTCATTCCGAGTGTTGCTGTCTGCCAATCTTGGTTGCGTCGGTTCGTCTTTCCTTTCAGGACAAGGGGATGAAGGTCCTGCCTTGGATCTGTTGAGCCAAATTGTGTGCAGGAGTCTAAAACACTGGGCTTTCTCAACTGTGGTTCAGCCATCATGGCTGTGCTGTTGTTTTTGTTGCAAACAACATGGCCAGAGAGACATCTGGAACAAGGGTGTTCATGCTCCATGGTCTGGAATATTGCTACCACCCAACATACCGTATATATTCAAAGATAAGCCAAGTTTTTCTGACCTTGTTGCCTGGAGACCATTGCTTGCAATATGTGATACATTTCTCTCTCTTCTTCCCTCCCTAAATAGTGTGTTTTCTTTTCTGCTTCTGCTCTGCTTCTCCTCCTAGGCTGGAATATTTTGAAAAGGGAAAGGAGGGGGAGAGAAGCCCTTGCGAGTCAGGAAGATCCATCTATATAAATATAAATGAAATGTTCGTTTGTGGGATTAACATAACTCAAAAACCACTGGACAAATGGATACCAAATTTGGACACAAGACACCCCTCAAGCCAACAAATGACCATCACTCATAACAACACTGAAAAACACAACAGAAGAGACTTAAAAAGCCAAAAAAATACATGTGCAACGCATGTGCAAAACCACATATATACAGATATACACAAATATATACACACACATATACGCATATATACACACACAAAACACATATACACAGACTGGGCCACAGCAAAGCACGGCAGGGGATGGCTAGTTAATCTTATAAAAGCATTTTACCTTGAAATATTTGTTAATCTCTCCTACAGATATATAGGCCTTTCCTCCTGCAAGCCTTCACAATCCCTATGTACCTATATATCTGTACCTAGCTATATATGAATGAGTATTTTTGCAGGTCTTTGCAAATCCTATATACATATAGATATCTGGAGATTTCCATGTATCTGTATATCTGTATCTATATGTATACATTATTTTAATATGTAAATTTTCCCCTTACATGTTTGCAAGTATCTGCAAAAACTATATAGATATACATATCAATAATATATATCTGTGTATATAACCTATCTGTGTGTGTATGTATATGTGTATATATAAAAATAATTTTATATATGAATTTTGCCCTGATATGTTTACAAGTCATTGCAAATCCTACATAGATATAATTATCTATATATAGAGATGTCTAGATAGATATATATGAATACAGATATATAGGGCTTGCAAATATTACACACAAATATATATAGACATGTCTAGATAGATATGAATATAGATATAGAGGGCTTGCAAATATCGCAGGGGAAATACACACACACACACACACACACACACAGATGTCTAGATGGATATAAACAGATATATAGGACTTGCAAATATTGCAGGAGGGAAATGCACATATATAAAGAGAGGATTTGCAAACGTTTCAGGGGGAAATACCTTTGTGAAATTAGTATATATAATTATAGATCTATATCTAGCTCTGCATTGTTTATATAGGCATTGAATGTTTGCCTGTTACTATGTTGGAAGCCGGTCTGTGTCCCCATAGGGAGATAAGGTGGGATACAAAGGAAGTTCTATTATTATTTATTTATTTATTTATTTACTGGCCCAAACCACAGTATATCACAGCAAACGAGATCTATATGCTGGATTTCGTATCACAAAATCACAAGTCGAACACTTCCCAAGCGTCTAGGACTGTGTGATATATTTTCGAATGATGTGTGCAGATCCAAGTCAGGTGGATCTGCACTTATTATTATTATTATTATTATTATTATTATTATTTTACTGCCACAAAAACACAATATGTCACAGCAAATGAGATCTATATGCTGGATATGCTGGTATCACAAGTCGAACACTTCCCAAGTATCTAGGACTGTGTGATATATTTTTGAATGATGTGGACAGATCCAAGTAAGGTGGATCTGCACGCATTATTATTATTACTATTATTATTATTTTACTGAAACAAAAACAAAGTATGTCACAGCAAATGAGATCTATATGCTGGATTTCGTATCACAAAATCACGTCGAACACTTCCCAAGTGTCTGGGACTGTGTGATGTATTTTCGAATGATGCGCGCAGATCCAAGTCAGGTGGCTTTTTGCAGTTGACAAATCCTGATTTTGTCGATGTTTATTGTTTCCAAATGCCAGCTGAGATCTATTATTATTATTATTATTATTATTATTATTATTATTATTATTTTACTGACACAAAAACACAGTATGTCACAGCAAATGAGATCTATATGCTGGATTTCGTATCACAAAATCACAAGTCGAACTCTTCCCTATTATTATTACTATTATTATTATTATGTTATTGTTGACACCATATTGTCTTTGTTGACTCTACTTTTCCTGTTTTTCTTTGAAATA